TCCCTGTGACAGGAGTAATAATAGATGGTTGTAAGTAAGTCACCATGTGGGTGCTGGAACTCAAGCAGGAGCAGCCGTCTCTCTAGTCCTTGTTGGAATACAGTTCTAGATATGTCTTCCAGTTTCTGATGGGTCTCTTTAGTGAATTTTTCATTTTGTTATACTTCTCAAGTCTGTAGTTTTCATTTACTTTTTATTGGTATTTTTCGTCTTTATTGGTATTCTCTACTTGACACAACATTGTCATGGCACTATTCTTCTTTAATCATGGTTTTCTTTGAATAATGGCTACTTGAAAATCATACTGTTGTTGTTTTTTATTTTGTTTTGTTTTTTTGTTTTTCAAGACAGGGTTTCTCTGTGACTTTTGAGGCTGTCCTGGAACTCGCTCTTGTAGACCAGGCTGGTCTCTGACTGACAGAGACCTGCCTGCTTCTGCCTCCCAAATGCTGGGATTAAAGGCTTGAGCCATCACCGCCTATCGAAAATCATACTCTGTTAAATCCATTGTGTACTCTCACAAGCAGTTACATTATGCTTTCCCTTCCCTCCTTCTTGTTAACTTTTTCAGACAGAGAGGGAGAGATGTAAGTAGGAAGGGAATGAAATGGCATTTAAGATATATGTTGAGTACTGGTCTCAGCATTGGGATTGTTAGTGCTTGCTTGTATGTTTAGTGGCTGGGCGAGGTCTCCACCTCACCACTGATACAGTATTTTTAGCCTCTGATAGTGTTCCCCAGAGAGGCACTGCTTTGGTTGTGCTTACAATCGTCCCTGGGAGACAGTAGGTTTCTCTGTTCTTGATACTACTCCTACCTCTTATGTCTCACTCTTCTACCTGACTGACTGCTCAGTTGCTTTTAGCAATGCTACAGGACACAGTCTAAGCCAATTCAATTCAGACTTTAAGGGATTTGTATAAGTGATCGTGTTCTTATACAAAAAGGCTCCTCCAAGCTACCCCCTCTTACAGGTCTCTCCTGAAAATGAGTTGGCCTACGGTTGTCTTGTACCCTTGGTGAATCTAGAAGTCTCTTGTCATTCCCTTCTCTCATAGCCCTGCTGTTTGTAGAGCACTTGTAAACTGGAGTGCCTTTCGGGAAAGGCACTAACTATTAAGGTAACCTATAGGCAGTGGCCTAAGGTCTTTTTAGTGTGCATAAAGGGCCAGGGGTAGGGTGATTGGGGCATATTCTTGGTGCTGCTGCTCAAAAGTACAGTCTCAGTGGTGTGGTGTAAGAAAGGAACCCTCACTTCTCTGCCACACTTGGCTAGAGTGCCCCTGTCTGTCCCTTAACCTAAAGGAGGCTGTCAGGGAGCTTTTGAGGTAGGGAACCTCTGGTTCTTTGAGTAGTGTTCCTGCCTTTGCTAAGTGAAGGGAACCATCTTAGTTCAGATTCTGCTTCCTGAATTTTCTTTCATTAGTTATTTGGTATAGGGCTCAAATCCCAGGCCTTGTTCATATGAGATGAGTGCTTTCCCCCTGAGCTTTTATAGATATTCTTAGTTAGGAGTTTCCTTGTTTGCTGTTTGCCCTTGGGTCTATTCATAGAGTCTTTAAAGGTGTTTTATTATCTTAAAACTTTATTTTGAAAAAGGATCTTGCTCTATAGCCTTGACTATCCTGGATCTCTATATGTAGACTAGATTGGCCTTGAACATTTGTTGAGCTTCCTGCCTCTATCAAGTGCTGGAATTACAAACATGCACCATCATACTTGACTAAACGGTTATTTTAAACTGAACTTTGGGGGGAGCAGATAGGTCTGAGGAATTCTTAACCTTGTCTTGCTGAAAGTTGAGCTCTGACTTGACTACAGTTTTAACTTGTTTTATAAGTAATAGTACCCTTTATCTAGGATGTCATAGCTTTCAGGTACAAAATTATGCACTTATGTTTGAAATCTTAAAGGATATGGGAAAATTCCTTCAAGTAAACAGCTTTCTAAAAACGACACAAGAAGAAACAAAAATTTCAATAGGTATGTGTCTATTTGGTTGAATCTGAATTTAAACAATTACTAGAAAATAAGTTACAGAGCAACGTTTTCTTATAAACATAAATTGAAAAATCTTAATAAAATATTGGCAAATTGAATCTAAAATGTGTAGGTAGACTAATAATATATATTGACCATGTACGATTCATACAAGATGTAAAGCTGTTTGTTTATTTATTCATTTAAAAAACACCAGGAAGGCACAGCAGTGGGAGCATCTGGCTGCAGATTCTCATTTGCATCAGGGCAGGCCGGAAGCCAGAAGTGCTAAAACTTTCAAAAGCTCAGCTCTAGCCACCTACCTCTGCCATCTAGTTCCCAGATTCCAAGGGCTCCACAGCCCCAGAAACAGCACCAGCAGCTATAGACCATGTGAGCCTGAGGGGGACAGTTCAGACTCTTCCTTTATACATACAGTCATGCTCATTTATATGTTTCGAAGAGATTAATATCCATCAGTGTCTGTTTTCTCATTGCATCGACAAAAATATACCTGATAAAATAAAGGAGGAAGTTGTTTTATTTATTTAAGATGTATGCTCTTGGACAGAGCATTATTGTGGCAGAAGTGACCCATTTCTTCCAGGTAGACCTACCCACCTAGCAACCAAGGCGTACCTTATAGGTCAACAAAATTTTGAGTAGTTTAGGATAATTAAATTTGGAATGACTGAGCACATTCGAATAGTCTGTGGCTTAGGATATGATTGACACAATACTTGAGGTTTCATGAAGCCACCCAGCATTGTGAGAGGGTCTTCTGCCATGTGTCTCTAGTGTTGGAAGGGATTGTAATGAAACCAGTTTGTTCTGAATGCAAACCATTTTCCTACCACTTTCTTACTGCGTTGGAGCATCAGGGCATGGGTTTTATTGTTGCTATGGAGACAGGTCACACTATGTACCCAGCTGGCCTGGAATTCACTATATGGACTAGGCTGACCTCTGACTCTTAGAAATTCTCCTGCCTTTGCCTCCAGGATTAAAGGAGTGAGCTACTACTGCTGGCTAAGGTTTTGAATGGGAGATAAGGCATTTATTAGAATAAGAAAACTGGTTTCATGTGTGGCAGTGGAGGGTGAGTGACCAGCACTTGCTTATAGATGGTGATTACATATAGAAGTGATGAAGCATGGATTTGTGTTCATCTCCGCATCAAGGTGGAAATAAGCTCAAATAATACTGTTAGAACTGAGTCAGCTCCTGAAGATGGCATCTATTATCATCATTATAATGGAATCTAATTATATTAAAGATGCAATACAAGGGCTGGAATGTTAGTGGTAGAACACTTGCCTAGCATGTGGGATGCCTTGGGTTCAGTCCCCAGTATTGCATACACACAAAAGACTAAGTTGCAATACAGACATTGTCTACTTTAGAAAAGATAAATCTATATTTGAAGGATATAGTGTTTTTGAAAATAAGTGAGTAACAGAGAACTATGGGTATTTTCTGTGAGTTGAGAAAGGGTTCTTAGAATGACTTTATCTTTTCAAGTGGCTATACATGTTATGTATTAAAAAAGCTTACCATTTTTAGTTTACAGAATCTTCTAGCCTTTTAAACTAATGAACTTGGTACCAGTGTCGTTTATTAATGAAATATGAACTATTTGACTTGAAGGACCAAAAACTTCAAAAGATTTACGAAAAGACCATTCAGGTGTCATTGACTTAGCAGAGATGGAGCAGGTTCTGCTGCTGAACATCTGGTGTTTCAGACTCAGTGAAAGATCCTTACTAAAAACAAGGAAGAAATTGATTGAGAAGGACATGTGATGTCAACCTCTGGCCCCTACATGTACTCTCAGACACAGGCATGCACACCCACACACCCACACATGGGGACATAAAAATGTAGATACTTGTGGTAAGATTTCAATCTTTTTGAAGAACTTTTTCATACCTTTATATAAAATAGGTACTGGTTTTAGATGGAAAAATAATTTTATATATTGCCAAACTAAATATCAAGTTTTATGTATATGATCTTAGAAATTTAATCTCAGTAGTTCAAGATACTTAGATAAGTGAGCTACTAGAAGGTCCCTATTGACAGATTTGGAAGTCTAGAGTTTAAGTGTTGTAATTTTTTTTATGCTAAGAACAAAAAGATGTAATATATTTGTTAGGATCAATGTAAAGTACCTTATTTTTGTTAACAAGCAAAAGACAGATATCTATTAAGTGTCTTTTATGTGCCAGGCTCTGTGCTGGGCATTAAAGGGGAGACAGAAAACAGTAGACATAATAACACTTGATTCCTGCTTTGGAGGACTTAATAGATTAGGATCATAGATTTCCATATGATACAAAACATACTGCAGCAGAGATATAGGCCTAAAATACTTCAGAAAAGGTGGGTTAATCAGCCAGTTTAGTTTCAGTTCTATTAGGAAAGCCCCTGATGAAGGACTTAGGCCAAAATGGAACCAGTGGGTGGAGCTTTCAAGACAGTAATGTGGGGAGATGGGCATTCTGGGCTTGGGAAGAGCATGTGCTCTTAGGAAGCCCCCAGGACTGTGGTTTCACTGAGGTGGAGAGGCATGCTGGGCTGCGTTGAAAGGTGACTTGAGATAGGCAGCTGCACTTTGATACAATACAGAAGCTTCATTTTCTAAATTATTGAGGATCTTATTATGATAGTATTGATTCTTTTAGGAAAGTTTTAACTTTCTAAGTAGCTTAGATAATAATCAGGAATGAATAATTAGTTATAAATAATTGTCATGTTCTGACTGAAATCTAGATGAGGGATGGTGAGCATCCAAAGTGATTGAGGTGATCACAAGAAAGGTAGTATTCAGTGATTGGTTGTGGGCAGCAAGAACAGCCCAGCATAAATCCCTACATGATAGGATGTAGATGCATGGATTTACCTTAATCACTTAGAGGACTGTATGCATGCAAGTACCTTCTACAAAATTACATTTAAAAAACACAAAAGTAATGTTAAGATTGGTTTATTCAGAGATTTTTCTCTTTTCTATTTATAGATGCTACTTCAAATGAACAACAAGAGCTTTTCTGCCAGAAGCTACAGCAGTGCTGTGTACTTTTTGATTTCATGGACTCTGTTTCAGATTTGAAGAGCAAAGAAATTAAAAGAGCAACGCTAAATGAACTGGTTGAGTATGTTTCAACTAATCGTGGTGTAATTGTTGAATCAGCGTATTCTGATATAGTAAAAATGGTAAGCTTCTAGATTTCTATTCCTCAGATTATGTAAGCTCAAGGATCTGAGGTGTATGTATAGTAACTAACATACCCAAAAGGATGTTCTTAGAAATACCCCATGGGGCTAGGTGTGGTGACACACACCATTAATCCCAGCACTGGGGAGGGAGAGGCAGGTGGGTCTCTGAGTTCCAGGCCAGCCTGGTCTACAGTGAGTTCTGGGACATACAGGGCTACATAGTGAGATTCTGTCTCAAAGGGAAAAAGGCCCATTTGAAAAATTATCCATTTCCTTGATGAGGCCATTGATAATAGGAGTTGGAGAAATTAGCAGTTACAGTGGCTCTTGGCTACCATATTGGATAGTTCAGTTCTTGAACTTAGAAAGCTGTAGGTTCAACCATAAAGTTCTTGTATAGGGCTACTAGAGTTCAGTTCCCAACACCCATATCTGCAGCTCACAATTGCCTGTATGTAGCTCCAGCTCCAGGAGGGTGTTTCTGGTCTCTGGCGCCTGTACTGAGGTATACATATCTGCACATGAACACATACTTGTAACTAAAAATCTTTAAAAACAATATATATGTAAACTCAGTTTATCCAGATGACAGATGATGTCTGATTGAGTAGTCACTGGAAATTGTGAAGGGGACAGAGAAGGTGTGTGAAAAACACGTAGGCAGTGGCTAAGGGAGTCAGGGTTAGAAGAAATTCTATATGGGAGTTTTCATATATTTGTAGATTATAGCATTTCAATTATCACACACAACACAACCTTTAAGGAGTTAAATAGGTGTCTTAATGTGGAACACAGAACTCTGAAGCACAAGCTAGAATACTGACATGATTCCCTAAGTGGGAATTCTACACCTGTCTTTATGAAGTCCAAACAAGTGAATAAAAATATTGGCTATAATTGCCTTTATGTTAGGTGTACAAGGCACTCGAAACAAATGAACTTCATGTCTAGTTGCCCAGGGTACCTCATTATAGGCATATGTAGTTGAGTTAGCCAAAATCCAGGACACTTCTTGCTCCTAGCATTTTAGGCAAGGAACACTCAGCTCGGTAGATAAATTGTGGAATCTCTCATGTGAAAAAAATTGTTGCCATCTTTATTATAGTAAGGTTTTTGTTTGCTTGTTTTTTAGAATGATGCTATTAGTTTAAGCTCCTCCTTCAGCAGTGGAAGTTGGTTTGGGATTTGTAACTGGCTTTTGTCCCATACTAATGAAACACAAAATTTGTGGGAACATAATTTAAACTATATCCAGACAGAAGAATAACCTAATACTTGTTCTAGGAGAAGAATAAAATGGATAGTAGGAAAGGCAGATTTGACCCTAATAAACTAGTTGGGTTTTCTTTTTAATCACAGTCAAAGTCCTGTTAAAGGAACTTAGGAATTAGTGTTGTATTTTTAAGAACAGGAATTAATGCTTTAGTGTGTGTGTGTGTTTTTTTTAAGATTGGCTATAGAGAAAAAGTTAACCACAGATAATAAACTCCCACAGATAATAAAAGAGGATGTAAGTATTAAATTTTGATGAAGTGTCTATATTTATTTATTTATTTATTTTTTGGGACAGGGTTTCTCTTTTTAGCCCTGGCTGTCCTATAACTCACTCTGTAGATCAGGTTGCCCTTGAACTCACAAAGATCCGCCTGCCTCTGCCTCCTGAGTGCTGGTATTAACAGTGTGCCACCATGCCTGGTTGAACTTCCCATTTTATTATAAAAAATTTAAGAATAAAGATTATTTTCTTCTGTTAACTAATGCCTAGTAGTTTTTAATTGAAGAATCTTGAAATGCCAATGGAAGATACTTTATAAAGTTGATAGATATTAAAAATACTCAAATATATGTCAGACTGTTTTATCCTGGGACTTACTCTCTTTACTCAAGTGAAAAGATGTGTACATTTCATTGTTTTTGTTGTGTAGCTTCTGGATAAGAGTTGGGCCACCTGATCAACCTGAGCCCTTTAACATGTTCCTGAGTATTTATTACGGGCTATTTTATTGGTGGCTACAGGTTAACTTTTGATTTTACTGGTGACAGTAATGTGACTTCCTGCTATTTGTGAAGCTGATGCCCATCAGACTATTACTGGTTTTACTTTAAATTTGGTTTTGAGAGCTGGGCATGGTCGTGCTTGCCTTTAATCCCAACACTCAGGAGCCAGAGGCAGGTGGATCTCTTGAGTTTGAAGCCAGTCTGGTCTACAGAAGTGTTCCAGGAGAAACCCTGTCTCCAGTAAATAAATAACAACAAAATGGGTTTGATTTGTAACTTGGGAAGTTCTAGATAGTTGCTGCCTGGCTGTTATGGTAATGGTGCTGACAGGTATTTGACTGTCCTGGGTGCCACTTTGTAAGAATAGTTGGAAAGTTACTTGTACATTGGTTGTGTTACCTTCTTGCCCCAGGTATTTACTCAGGTAGTTAACCCTTTACTGTAGTCATCCCTTCACTATAGTCCTCCCTCACTGTAGTTATCCCCTTATTATTATTATTACTATTTTGGTTTTTTGAGACAGGGTTTCTCCTTGTAATCACTTTGGCTGTCCTGGAATTAGCTTTTTAGACCAGGCTGGCCTTGAATTCACAGAGATCCACCTGTCTCTGCCTCCTGAGTTCTGGGATGAAAGGAATATGCCATCATTGCCCATTTAACTCCCTCATTATAATCATATCCCTCACTATAGTCTGTCCACACTATAGCTATATCCTGACACTGTAGTCATCACACAAAGCTCACTCTTAAATGGTTACTAAACTGTGGTCCGTTCTTTCTTAAAAGAAATTAACACTGGGTGTGGTGGTGCATGCCTTTAATCCTCCAATCTGGATGCAGAAGCAGGCAGATAGATCTCTGTGAGTTTGAGGCCAGCCTGGTCTACAGAGCAAGTTCCAAAAAGAAAATGAACTGTGGACTGGGACCACAGTGTAGTCTTTGCTGGAGAAAAAAGGATGTGTATGGTTACCTAGGTCCTGGCTGATACTGATGATGTAAAGGAAGAAATTATAAATACCATATTTCACTGACTCTAAAACGCATCTCAGAGCAGTTCCTTGTTTTAGAGTAGTTTGTGTTTTTAAAGTCTCAAATCTCAAAAGTATTAAAATACAGAGTTAAGCTATCATTGAAGTTTTATGACTATAATAACAAGGAGGGTCTTCTTGTTATAGGTACAGAACATGGCTGGGATAGAATATGGAAGGAATTGTAAAATGATCCACAATGGGTTTTTTTTTTTTTAATTATACAGTAAAGAACATGAATCCAAACTTAATTTCTTTCAGATCAGTGCTAACATCTTCCGTACACTTCCTCCAAGTGATAATCCAGATTTTGATCCAGAAGAGGACGAGCCCACACTAGAGGCCTCTTGGCCTCACATACAGGTATGGACTACATGTTTTTATTAGTAATGTTTATGTTTCAATACTCTGCTGATTCTGGGGTGTTTATTTAAAATACTTGACTTTTAAACTGGGCCTGTAATCAGCCCTTGGGAGGCTGAGACAGGAAGATCATTCGTTCAAGACCAGTTTGAGCTTCATAATAAGAACCTGAACCTGTCTCCAAAAACTAAAAGTGTGGACCACTGGGATGTTGCAGGGTGAGGGCAGACACATGCTGTTAAGCCTGCTAACTGGACCCACGTGGAGGAATGAGAAAACAGATTCCTCTTCTAACCTTAAGAGAGAAGGTGTGACATGTACCCTTCCCCCCATGTTAAATTTTTAAAATGCAAAAATAATTTATTTTGAATATATTTCCTAACATTATTTTGTTTTCTATAAGTAATGTTTTGTGACAGCCTCTCTGAGTAGCCCTGGCTGGAGTGGAGCTCACTATGTAGACCAGGCTGGCCTGGAACCCAGAGAGATCTGCCTGCTGAGTGCTGGGATTAAAGTTGTGCCACTATTACTAGCTAAAAGTAATTTTTTTTATTGTAATAAAATATACCTGTGTTAAGATAAAATCTTACTTTTTCATTCAAAGTACTGTGCAAGTGCGGTGACTGTCTGGTGTCAGCTTTCCTCAGCACAGGTAGACACTGTCATCTAAGTACTCGGTTCTCTATTTCTCATCTTCATAGCTCACAACAAACATGAAAACAAACTCTGTTTTCTGCTTGAAGATACACTTACCTGGTTGGATAGTTCTTATACACCGAATCATAATGTGTGGGCTTTTCATGCCTGGGTTCTTTTACTTAGCATAGTATTTTCAAGGTTTATCTATGTTGTAGCATAAGTCACTGCTTTTTACGGTTGAATAATACTCTAATTCATGGATGTGGACTGCTTTTTTAAATTATTGAATGTTAAAGTTCTTTTACCTTTTGGCTGTGTCTTAATCTTATATTGCTGTGAAGAGACACCTTGACCATGGCAACTCTTATAAAGAAAACATTTAATTGACAATGGTGGCTTAGAGTTTCAGAGGTTCAGTCCATTGTTGTTATGGTGGGACATGGTGGTGTGCAGAAAGACATGGTGCTAGAGAGGTAGATGAGAGCTCTGTTATCTTGCAGGCAACAGGAAGTAGACTCAGTGTCACAATGAGCATAGCTTGAGCAAAAGAAACCTCTAAGCCTGTCCCCACAGAGACACACTTCCTCCAACAAGGCCATACTCACTCTTCTAATAGTGCTGCTCTCTTAATGAGCTTATGGGGGGTCAGTTACATTCAAACTACCACAGGCTATTTTTACAACTAGAGCTGTTAATACATTCATATGTAAGTTTTGTGTGAACACTTATTTCCCGTAAAATATTGATTTTTTTTATTCATTTAAAAATATTTTCTAACTTCCCACATGATTTTTTTTTTCACTGCATTGCATGATTTTAGTTCTTATAGAGTTGATGGCAGTAATCAGTTTGTCCTGGAGAACTTTACATGTGTGTTTATACTGTCAAGGGTCTGTGTGCTCCTGGGCCAAGCTGGTTTATAATGTCCAGCCTGTTACCTCACTGATCTGTTCACTGAAAGAAAGATATTGAGTCTCCAGATGTTGGATTGTCTTGGCATTTCTGTGATTTTTTTGTGTTTTGGGACTTGGTTGATAGGTGGATAGGTATACATACCTTATCATTATGAAATGTCCTTTGTCCTTATTTTGAATAGCAGTATAATCATTCCAGCTTTAAGCTACTGTTTCCATGATTTATATTCTCCATCCTTTTTGTTTGACTCTAAAATGTGTCTCTTATAATAGCATTTAGTTGGAGGTGCTAGATCTGTTGTTTTGTTTTGTGTTTTGACGTAGGTTTCTCTCTTATATAGCCCTTTCTGGCCTCTGGAATTTACAGAGATCTGCCTGCTTCTGCCTCCCAAGTGCTGGGATTAAAGGTATCCACCCCCATGCCTGGCTCCTAAATTATTTTTTAATAGGATTAAGCACAAGTTCATCTGGAATTTTCTGCCATACTTGGTATAAAATTAGTGGTACTATTTTTAGTAATGGGGGTTTTTAAAGCATGAAATTCTCATTAGCCGGTGTTACTCATTTTTATTATGTGTAGTTGGAAAGTCTTTGGAAGAGACTTTTAGTTTTTGAAATTTTAAAAGTAAAGACAGATTTTTTTCCATCAGGATATCTTTATAGATTCATAGAAATTAACACAAGAAATTTAGCCAAGTAAACAATGTGTTTCCATTTTTCACTGGTATAATTTGAAGCTCTATTTAAATTTCCTGAGAGAAAATGGTTCTTAACATTTAGAAGATGGTAATTGCTATCAAGATACTATTTCTATGAGTGGTAAATTTCTGTGTTTTCACTTATCAGATCAGATCTGACAGGCATGGTGACTCACCTTTTAATTCCCCACTCTGAGTTTGAGACCAGCCTAGTCTACAGATAAGATATGTAGAATAGATCTGGGGGCAGCTTCATTTCATAGAAGCATGATCTACTGTGACATTTTGAAGGTTGTCAGCCAGTTGTTTCTTCCACCTGTTTGTAACTCATTCAGTATGGATTAAATAACCATTTTCATCTCCTCAGTACTGCTAAATCTGCTCTTGACAGCAGGTATTTGCTAATGTGGACTAGTCATTTCATGTGCATTGCTGTCAGGGAAATTATGTAGATGAAAATAATCTTAAGAAAGTAGGGGTCTGGAAAGATGGTTCAGCAGTTAAGAGTCGACACTGGCTGCTCTTACAGAGGACCCAGGTTTGCATCCCAGCACCAACTTCACAACTGACAGCTGTCTGTAACTCCAGTTCCAGGGAGATAAATGCCCTTTTCTGGTGGTAGACAGACAGACATGGCAAGCAAAACGCCCACACATAAAATAATGATAAGATTAAGAAAAAAAGAAACTGGGTCTAGAGAAATGACTCAGTGGTTAAGAGCACTGCTGCTCTTCCAGAGGACCCAAGTTCGATTCCCAGCACTTACATTGTGGCTTTCAACTGTCTGTGGCTGTTTCAGGGGATCTAATGCCCTCATACAGACATGCAGGCAGAACAGCCATACACATAAAATAAGAAATAAACCTTATACAACTTATGAAAAGTCCTCTTAGCTTTTTGTTCACCTGACTCCTCTGGTTTACTGGATGAGCTTCTTGAGCCGCATAGTACTTATCCTTTGCTCACACTGCATGTAGCCCACCCAGTGCGCAGTATGCAAATAGGTACCAAGTGAACTGGGCTGTCAGCAAAGCTCCACAGTTTAACTTCACAGCATTCCAGGCTCACTATTATTATTATAGGGTTTTGTTTGTTTGCTTTTGTTTTTCGAGACGGTTTCTTTGTGTTGGCCTGGCTGTCCTGGAACTCACTCTGTAGAACAAGCTGGGCTTTAACTCACAGAGATCCATCTGCCTCTGACTCCTGAGTGCTTGCGTCACCATCACCCAGCTATGGTTAAAAATAAAAGACTCTAGCCATGCCTTCTTCTTATATGCTGCTTAATTCTGACTTCCAGTCACAGTGCTGTCATACAGGTCATACACACAATGCTTCTTGATACCAGTCTCACCCATGTGTCAGCTTCATTTGCTCTGGTGTACATACCTTCCTTCTGCTTTTACGTGTGTGTGTGTGTGTGTAAAACCTGTGGGAGTTTAGTTTTTTGTTTTGTTTTAATCTTCTCCTACATGGATACTCAGGTCAGCAGTTGGTGGCAAGCACTGTTACATGCTGAACCATCTTGCCAGATCCCCTACTCCAGGCTTACAGGAGATTGATTTTTAAAACTGGCATGCACACACTGCCCATTCTCATCCTGAGCCTATGTTTAGGTGACCCTAGGGGTGAAATTGAGGTAGGGTGGTAGTACATGGGGGAAGGAACATGAACCTGATACCTTAGGGTCACTGACTGATGAGTGATGCAGAGTGACAGACCTGACAGACTGTGACTCAGGAGACTCTGCCACTGTGATGACCGCTCCATGACCAAGGGTGGCCTGGGAGCACAGAGCTATTGGCCTACACACGTTCATGTCATAGTCTACCAAGGACAGACTGTCGGACTGGAGACAGGAGCCATAGATAAATACTGCTTACTGGTTTGCTTTCTTACACATCCCAGGACCATCTCACTGGTTTGCTTTCTTACACATCCCAGGACCATCTCTCTGTAAGGGGCTCCCACAATAATCCAAAGGAGGCATTTTTATCAATTGACGTTCCCCTTCCCAGATAATTGTAACTTGTGTCAAGTTGATAAAAAGCCAATCAGGACAATAAAAAGGTTTTTAAAAAATCTTTAAATTTAGAACAATTACCAACTCAAGCTGATAAGAGGTGTGTTTTTACTGGTGTTTAGAATATTTTTTTTTCTTGCACAGCTGGTGTATGAATTCTTCTTGAGATTCTTGGAGAGCCCTGATTTCCAGCCCAGCATTGCAAAGCGATACATTGATCAGAAGTTTGTACAACAGGTAAGGGACTCCTAGATCTCAAATCTTTATATCTTAGCACTTAAGACTAGTCATTCAAAACATAAATACTTAAAAGTACTTAGTAATTGTTCTTGACAAACAAAATAAGAGTAGCTTTGAGGGGTTGGCAAGATGACTGGGGTCAAATCCCTTCCTGCTTTTCCAGAAGTTCTGTGTTCAAATCTTAGCACCCACATCAGGCCCCTCACCAAAGCCTATTAACTCCAGCTCCAGGGGACCAGGTGGTCGTCTGACCCACACAGGTTACACTTTTTTAAAGTAGCTTTCAGAAGTTGAGTTTTGAATCAAGGATGAGCACCCAGTGAAATCAGTCAAACTGCCCTTCCTGCAGTTCCTCAAAAATTTGGGGTGATCATATCATCTAAGGGTGAAACTTCTGTTTTAAAATTTCTAAGTCTTCAAACTGCTATGTTAAACACCTATGACTTTGAGCTGAAGGGGAGAGAATGATCTCGGAGTTTGAGCTCTCTGTGCCTTTCTGGACATCCAGCATCAGTCGCCCGTCCTTCCTGTCCAAGCGCCACAGGTGAAATAAAATGGGACTGTTAAGGAAAGGAGGTAGCTAAGCACATGGAATGACTTCTTGGTTTTTAGAAACTGGTATTACCTCTAATTCCAGAACTTAGATGCAATTAATTTCTAAGAATGTGACCATTTGTTTTTATTGTCAAAAGCTTTTAAAGACCACTTTATAACCTCTTAAATCATTGAAATTATCTGCCCCTAAACAGAACTGTAAAGTGACCCAAATGTTTCTCTATCCATTTTCTCTTAAAGCCATTATCAGTTAGAAATTTGATGCCAAGGGCACAATTAAAATTCTGTTATGAGGACCTTTCAGACCACTGTCGAGTGTCCTGGATGTTAAAGAGTCCCCTTACTTAGAACTGTCCCTGTTCATTAACAATGTATATAAATCAGCCAAATTAAAGTGGGGTCTTTGGAGCTATTGCAGAGGAAGGCATGTTTATTTTCTTGTTCTCATGCACTTAGCACCTAGGGAAGCCACACACATTAAACTTTACTTCAAATGACAGCAGGTTGAGGGGAATCTTGCTACTGCAGCCTGGTGCTCTAGGCACTCAGAAAACTGGCTTTTCTGGGGATGTGAGGAGAAACCTGGTAACGGTGGGAAACATTTTCTACTTCTACCCCAAACTATGTGGAAAGCCAAAGCAATAATCTTAATTCTGACAGTTCTGTGTACTGCCCACAGCTGCTTCTGGGGGATTAGGGGTTGCTTCTGCAAATGCCCTATGAGAATTCTCAGCTTTTGAAAGTTTGAAAACTCAGAATAGGAGAGATTTTGTTAGAGTGGATGGTGTAGGTAGGAAGGGCCCTGCATAACTTAAATTTATGTTCAAATCAGAGAATCTCCAGAGAAAACTAAGATGTATTTATTGTTACCATTTGAATACATTATAAATTGTTGTAGAGAGCCCACATCAGTGCCACACGTAAATGGCAGGGTCTGGATTTGAGCTAGAGCAGGGGTTCCTAATGTTGTGGACTGTTTAATGCAGTTTCCCATGGTGTGTTGACCCCCAACCATAACATTGTTTCATTGCTGCTTCATAACTGCAATGTTGCTACTGTTACGAATAAATACCTAGTATGCAGCCCATCTGATACAAGACCTCAAGGGGGTCACAACCCATGGGTTGAGAATTGCTGAACTAGACCCTCTGACCTTGATTGAATTATTCTTTAAAAATAATTTGAAGGCAACAGAGCCAGAAAAAGCAGGTTTCCTGTTATGAATATGACATTTCTAATTTAGGTTTTATTTCAACATATGTATAGCTAACAAGTACCCTCAAGCTTAATATTTCCCCCTTAGAGATAAATCTCCAATTTGAGCAAAATCATTTTTTAAGTAAACCAACATGAGAAACGGGACTTTAAGGTTAAATTAGAAGTTTAGCCATTTTTAACTATAATAATTTGGATTAGTGCTTCTGTCTCATAGGTATTTCTGGCTGTAGCCTCATGCAGTACTGAACCCTTAGCCAAAAATGAGTGCAAACCACAAGCAAGTCGTTTGTTTAGGGCACATGAGTGTGACTTACCACTACCTCAGAAATTCTACTTGGGTTTGAAATCACACAATTGAAGACAAAATGGAGTCAGAGCATCTGGTGAGGCCCAGAGCTTGTCACCTGTCCTGTAACTACCCAGCATCACAGTTTCATAACATAAGATTCCATGCAGTTTGGTAGACCATGTATATTTGCATTATGGGCTTGCTGTTTGAGACAGCCTCACCACTGTGTAGATCAGGCTGACTTCCCAGGACCAGTACCTGGGAGGTAGAGGCAGGAAGATTGCAAGTTCAACCAGCCTGGCCACGTAATAGATCGATGTCTCAAAAACCAACTTTTTAACTTGCTACCAAAAAACATTAAACATCTCTCAAATTATGACACTAAAAATATTAGGATAGGAAAAGAATTTTAAAGTCCCTGGCAAGGTTAAAAAAAAATCTTATTTTTATAATGTGTTTTTAAAATGACATGTTCTCTCTTGGTTTACTTAGCAGAGATAAAATCTGCTAAGACAATATTTAGGAAAAAGTTAAAGATTTCATAGGTTATCTTACAATCAAAATTAGAAAAAAGAGCGGTTTTAGCTTGATTATTTTTTTAAAGTAATCTGTCAGATTTTTTTTAAAGCTCCTGGAGCTTTTTGATAGTGAAGATCCGAGAGAACGAGACTTCCTGAAGACTGTCTTGCATCGGATTTATGGGAAGTTCCTGGGGCTGAGAGCATTCATCAGGAAGCAAATTAACAACATCTTCCTTAGGTAAACTCATCATTTACAGCACTCTCTCTTCGTGCCTTCTTTAACCAAGCGCCTGTACTTAGTTTGTATCTGAAACCTGACCTGGCTGTGGCGTCTTAGTCATTCCTACTCATTGAGTGGTTCTCACCTGTGGCAGATTAAAATTTTAGAAGCATGCGCCCTCCTTTTCTAGGTCGGCAGTAGTAATGAGGACAGTGTTTGATGAAGGAAGAATTTGCTGGAAAACTTTTCTCTAAGCATTTTAATTGTTTTTAAACAATCACTATTAAGCCAACACCTGTGAAAGTTCTGATTTTTTTTTTTTTGACAAAGCTAATTAAAACCCATATGGAACTGTGGTTGAAACATTTGCTTCACATTAACGCCTGTGTTTCAGGTTTATTCTCCTAGTCTGAGTTAACTGAACACAAGAAAGAGGCTAGCATTGGAGATGAGTGATGGCTGTTCCCCAGCACTTAAGTCAGTGCTCATCTACTGCAGCCCTTCATGCTGTCATTTGCTTTCAAGGCAGGCCCGATAGTAGAAAACAGGATAGCCTATGTCACTTACAATCTAGGAAAATTCTAAGCAGTTGAAAAAGTGAACCCTTTTTTGAGTAGTGCTTTCCTACTTTGAGAAGGTCCCTTCCTTATTAAGTAAAATATAATGACCCAGAGGAAATGTGAATGTTATTCTCAAGTGGCAAATTTTAGCAGACATGTGATTCAAGGAAATACATCAAAAGGTCAAGATTGGCTACACATAGTCTTGAAGGTAGTTTGGGATGCTTGAGACCTTGTCTAATTAAAAAAAAAAAGTGATGTGAACAAAAATGCCTGATGGTTAAACAGTTATCTGTCTTTACTTCAAATTCAGGTTTATATATGAAACAGAACATTTCAATGGTGTGGCTGAACTCCTTGAAATATTAGGAAGGTAGGTATGGGAGGGGGTATGGTTTTTTAAGAATTAAGTTACTGGGTGTTTTATGTACCAAACAGCTGGAGTTGAAAAAAAAACGAGTTCCCATATTTTTAGAGTTTAGAGCACAATGCTCAAGGCCCTAGGTTCAACTCCCAACAACAGAGCATAAGCTGGTGTCAGGGCCTTGGCATATCAAATACTGCTGTGATGCGTATGCCCCAGATATTTTCAGGCTCCAACTGGGAAGGGATGGAAGTTGTTATTTCATGAAACATTTACTATAAGAACTCTACCCAACTGCTGATAGGCCGTTCCTAATCTAGCTTAGTCTTTTTTAAGAGTCTTTAATCTTTGATTTTACATACACATTTCCTCATAGAAGTAATGATAGAATTCATTCCAGGTTATTCAGAACTGTAGGAGAAACTCCCTACTGAACATGTTAGAAATTCTGACCGCTTTGAGACAGGCCCTCTCCTGTTGCTTTTGGAAGAAAAGTAAATGCAGCCATGCAGAGCTAAAGAGACAGATAACACTGCCCAGCAGCAGCCTGCCTTCCTCATGTGCAGCTTCTGCAACCAGGGTGGTGACTTAACCCTTCTTCCCCTGCCTTTTCTCCCTGCAGTATCATCAATGGCTTTGCATTGCCGCTGAAAGCAGAACATAAGCAATTTCTAATGAAGGTTCTTATTCCTATGCATACTGCAAAAGGACTAGCTTTATTTCATGCTCAGGTAAGATTCACAAGTATGGCAAGTGAAAGGAATACTTAGTATATACTAAGACAAAGAATTTGAGAGATATTAAGATGTTAGTGTTGTGTATTATGAGTTCATGTACATACTGCTGGTGCAGTTCTAAGTTAAGGAGTAGAAGTTTACTTATACTCAGGGTCCAGGACCTAAACTTAAGCTTCATGACCCTAATGAATCTTATGCATCAAACCCTAAAACCTCTCAGAAGGGTCTTGGTCAGGTCACTGCTCACCTTAGATCAGTAGTTCTCAACTCCCTAACGCTGCAACCCTTTAAATCTTCCTGTTGTGGTGACTGCAACCATTAAATGATTTGCATTGCTGCTGTAATGAATCGTAATGTTATACCTGATTCACAACCCACAGATTGAGAACCACTGCCTTAGAGGAAAACATCTGCATATTTCATATTAATAGATATGCACTGGAAGACTAAGGGGTATTTTAAAGTTAAGTCTGGAGCTAACAATCTGTAGAACTTAGAATAAACTGAAGTGACATTTTGTGTAGATGTGAAAATATCATATTCCTAACTGTTAATTCATTGATGTTTTCTTAAACTTGTCTTTGCCCTTCAGCTGGCATACTGTGTTGTGCAGTTCCTGGAGAAAGACACAACACTGACAGAGCCTGTAAGTATTTGGTTCCCTCTTGTTACAGCCTATGTATCCATTGTCACACAGTAGGAGAAACTGGGAGGTGGGGGAAGGGAGCATGCTCATGAGGAATTGAGTGGACTGATTGGATTGCAGTCTTAGTTATCAAGAAAATGATTGAGTAATTGAGTGGACTGATTGGATTGCAGTCTTAGTTATCAAGAAAATGATTGAGTTAGGGTGAGAACAGAAGGCAAAGAAGCATAATGAACTGTAACCTTCAGTACTGGCTGATATGGAACACATTGTATATATCATACCTAGACTGGTTTCTAGCTCACTATGATCCTCCTGCCTCAGCCCCCTAAATGCTAGGATTTTGAATTCCCCTGACGACTATACAAACCATTGCAGCTTTAAGATAATTCGAGTGAGCTGGGCATTGGTGGTGCACGCCTTTAATCCCCATACTCAGGAGGCCAAGTGGATCTCTGTGAGTTTGAGGCCAGCCTGGTTTACAGTGGAACCCCACGACAGCTTCCAAAGCCACAGAGAAATCCTGTCTCGAAAAACCAAAACAGAAAATTTGAGTGCTCTGGTAGAATGCTTTCTAAGCATTTTAAATACAAATATTGGAGGATTAAAATTCAACTACTTTAGGCTAACCCTAGGGGATGCTTAAAAATTTATGTGCATGGTTTTCATCTTTCACTTGAAAAGTAGTTACAGTCTCACAGCTGGAAACATATTTTAAAGACAAATCAGACAGAATTAGAAGCTTTCTGGTACATATGAAACTACAAGCACTCTAATTAGAGATTAACTCATGAAAGCTCCCACCTAATAAACACTAATGAATAAAGATTAGGGAGAGTTTGTTTTTCCTTTTAACCTATTGAGTTGAACCATTCTGGCATTTCTAGTATTTAGTGCACTACCAGATTAGTAAAATTTGGCCTCCTTTTAATATTTTAATTTAGGAACCCTGGCTTTTAAATGTGTACTGTATAAGTTTAGATTATGGGAAATTGCCTATTCTTTATGATCACCTCAAAGAGCTAGGGCTGGAGCTCAGGTTGTATTAGCATTCATGGGGCCTCAGAGTGGAAGGCAGAGATCAGAAATCCAAGGTCACTGTTACAGTCCTGAAAACAAAAACGTTCTTGTGAAATAACCTTCACTCCATCAGGCTGCATTTCACTGTCTTGTATTACGATTGGTCCATTAGAATGTAGGTAGAGACCCCCTCTGCTCACCTGTCTACTATCATGTCCCAGGCCCTTGGTGTGAAGCCATATAGGAATTTTCATGGCCCTGAAACCCCAAGTGCTGGGATTATAGACATGCATCACCAAACCTAACTGCTCAGTTCATTCTAAACTTGTTTCTTGTAGGTGATCAGAGGACTGCTGAAATTTTGGCCAAAAACGTGCAGTCAGAAAGAGGTGGGTTTTAATAAAGTACAATGCATTTTAGTCAGACTTTGCAATCTTGCCCTGGTCCATAGTGGGAGGAGCACGGAGATAGCCCTGAACAGTGTCCACCTCCTAACATACAGCTGTTCCTTGTCTGTATAGCTTCTAAATTAGTATCATTTGTTGTGACATTTTAAACAGATTTTCTTTTTAATCTAGGTGATGTTTTTAGGAGAAATTGAAGAAATCTTAGATGTCATTGAACCAACACAATTCAAAAAAATTGAAGAGCCACTTTTTAAGCAAATATCCAAGTGTGTCTCCAGTTCTCATTTTCAGGTATCATCTTCCTTCCTTGGTGACTATGATTTTGTACCATCCTTTTTCCCCTATAAATTTTGACATTTGTTATCTTTTGTAGGTTGCAGAAAGAGCACTGTACTTCTGGAATAATGAATATATTCTTAGTTTGATTGAAGAGAATATTGATAAAATTCTGCCAATTATGTTTGCCAGTCTGTATAAAATTTCCAAAGAACACTGGAATCAGTAAGTTTTTTGTTGGTGTTTTTTAAAATTTAATGTATAGTCTAAAAAGTCCTGGCTGGCCTTGCCTTGAACTCATGTATTACTGTTCAATACTGTATGCCAATGTCACGGTTTTAGATATATGGATATCCCTCAGCAAATGGTCTTACCAAAGTGAGGGCCAGTGCCCCTGCAGAAACAATGTGGCTGAGCTGCACCTAGCCTCCCCCAACTAGGAGCTGAAGACTATATACTCTTAACAGCTGTGGCATTTTTGTCTTTGCAACCCAGGGTTTCAGATGAGACACACATGGAGAACCAGAATATTCTTAGCTATAAACATCAGCATAATATAGGAAAGACGTAAGCTTTGGAATCAGATCATACATGCGAGTTACATCATCTAAGTCAGTCATGTGTTCAGCTGACACCAGCCCAGTTCAGAGATGCAAGTGTGAAAGTGTTGTGTCTCCCAGCTGCTGGCCTCTAACCCAGGACTGGCTTTTTCCTTCAGGACCATCGTAGCACTTGTGTACAACGTGCTGAAAACCCTGATGGAGATGAACGGCAAGCTTTTTGATGATCTCACTAGTTCCTACAAAGCTGAGAGACAGAGGTACTTGAGACATTTTGTCATCCAGTTCAGAAAGGTCTATTTCTTCATTGTCAGAGTGACTGTGAATATATTACACAGCTTCCCTGACAGCTTGGCAGTTCCAGTGCTGTGGATTACAGCAAGTGGTATTGAGGTCATCATTCAAGGTGGGCAGTAACTACTCCATCAAGGCTACCACCTGCTATTTTATGTAAAAAAGATCCAGCCCTCTCTCACCAGGGCATATATAGTGGGTCAACCTTTAATCCCAGGACTATATGCCAAACAAACCAACCCCCACAAAGTTCAGATAGAAATAAGAGGTGAGCAGGATATTGTAAATTGGTCACATGGCCACATGGCTGTCTATGAAAGTCAAATTCTTTAAAATGAGCTGTAGAAATAAAAGGCCATGTTATAGCCTGTATCCAAATTGAACCCAAACTTATGGGTGGGTTAGAAGCTTGCCATTACAGGGCCCAAGTGTTACTCTAGCTGACCTAGAGCCACTGTGGTGATTATGGTGAGTTATCTCGTGTGTGGTCACATAGACCTATATAGCTACTCAGGAGGCTGACAAAAAAAACAAAACAAACCAAAAAAAAAAAAAAAAAACACGAGGTGTTCTACCTTCTCCACTGTCTGCCAATGAGGGACTTCGTGAGCTTCTGATTAAAACTGTTGGTTTCTCCTCAGAGAGAAAAAGAAAGAATTGGAACGTGAAGAATTATGGAAAAAATTAGAAGAGCTGAAGCTGAAGAAGGCTCTGGAAAAACAGAACAGTGCTTACACCATGCACGGTATTCTAGGCTGTAACACAGGTGCCAGATAAAGAGCAGCTCCCTCCGTACACAAAATCTTCAAAGCAAACCTCATCAGTATAATATGATTAGGAGGCCAGTTTTTTCTGGCAAGCTAAGTGAAAGAAATATGGACTAAACATAGCCCTGTGCTGTATCATGGCCACAGTATATTGTAACCTTTGTCTTATCATGGACTGTGTCACTTTATTACCCGTGTCCTGAGTGAGGTGACTGGGAGTGGTGAGAATCTTGACTTGAACTCTCGATTGTGCTGCACACATCAGGTCATTCTCTGTGCTCTCACATCTCTGCAGACCTTGGTTACGACCAGGAAAGAACTTTGTAAGTTCTTTGAGGTGTTGTCCTTCCCTCGCCTCTCCCAGAGAGACGTGGGATAAAAGCCCAGCCTCTTTAAAGATACTGCCATACTCTGGGTTTTGCAACACTTTACGTCTCCAGGCTTCTGAAGCACAAAGTATTAAAGCTGGGGAAGTAAACCAAAATTCTGACTCTTCCCAAATACCCCCTTCAGCAGCAGCACCCCAGAGTGGTGGACCCTAGGCTCACCCCTCCTTCCTTCCTCTCTCCAAGGCTGGAGGCTCTGAGTTGCACAGTGTGACACAGACCGCTAGCTGTCACTGCCTGGCTGTAGGTGATGCATTGACTGTGTCGAGGCCCTGTGTGTTCTTACCTGGTCAGGTGTTTCTCCCATGTTATCAGTACCATTCCAGCCTCTTGCCTCGCCACTGTATGGAAACTTTTATAGCGGAAGCTCCTCACTGGGGATTGAGCACCATTTAATAAAGTCTATGTTTGTATTTTGCCTTATGTCATCTGCTCTTTTATATCTGGGAGACAAAAAAATCAGTTTGTGGATGTGTTCTAATTAAGATTAGGATGTTTGTGTTTCATGGGTTAGTAATCTAGTCATTTATTGAAATGTAACCATTTAAAGAATCTTTATAAAATCCCAAGCTTCAGGTCCCACTGTTCTAGGAAAGGTTTAGCATTAACATTAAAGCTAGATTATAACGTAGTTTCAACTAAACATCAGTTAAAAATGAGCAGGGGATTCTTGTTACTGTGGTAGCAACTTAGGCAGCCTCCATGGCCCTGGAAAAGCCTTCCTTGCAGCACAGTGGCTTTTAATTTTTGCTACATTTCTAGCCAGTGCACTTTGCTGGGCCACTGTGCCATCCAGTCACAGCACCCCCCCCCCCCAACAGAATAGAGGCTTGCCTTTCCAGAGAGTAAAGTTGAACTTTTACTCAGTCAATAGGCAAAAAATACTTCCTAATCATCTAAAGCAAATACAGGAAAAGTAAAGCTTTAGTGTTCACTGAGGCTGGTTTCATTAGGTATGTAACTATTAAAGTGATGTGCCACTAGGTGTTTTGTAAACAGGGCCCTGCATGCTAACCACACATTCTACCACTGGGGCTGTATTCTTGCCCCTAGACACGAATCCTTTAGCTTGTTTTTCATAATGTTTATGCTTGGCATTTGTACTATAATGGTATTTTGTAGCAGGGAATATTTCATTATACGTATAATTTCTAGGGATTCTGCCAAAACAGTTTCTTGCTGTTAAATTGGGAGACAAAATGCCCTCCTTATATACAGGTGAGCAAGTTTCCTTCTGATTCCCCAAGGCCTAATTGTGAATTCTTTGAGTGTTACCACAGTTCCTCTGGACACACAGTTTAGAAAAGACCTGGTCTGGGTTTTATGTAAGTGCCACTTGACAAAGTCTTGAAGGCCACCCTGTTAGGTGTCTCTGTAGAACACTGACCTATTGAGCAGATTATTCAGTGTCATCTATGTCCAGCTTACCTTCCCTGGAAGCAGTGGTGACATACCTTAAGGATCACAGCCATCGTGGTTCAGTCCAGACTCATGCTACCATTTGGGTTTAGCGGTCATAGTATGAACAAGTCCAGGATTGGTGCCTGTTGGTTTACTGGGTACTCAAACTCATTCCTTTTGTATTAGCCCAACTTTATTTATCTGTTAATGAAATCAAGATAGACTAAGTAGGTGCCTACTTATATACATCTGTGCTAACGCTTCCAACAGTGACCACTGAGCTCACACTGTTGTCCACATAGTCCATTAGAAATGTAATTGCTAGATTCTGGTATTCTTTAAAGTCTTATGTAAGGCTGGGCATGGTGATAGAGGCTTTTATTCCCGGCAATGGGAAAGCAGAGGCAGGCCTGGTCTACATAGAGAGTTCCACCAGGGCCTACATTTAAAATAGTCATCTAAGAACTGATAAGGTATTAAGTAACTACAGTGGATGGTGTGAAAGTCATGACAAATTTTGTATGCAGGGCATACCAGACCACTTTAAAAAAATAAATAAAAACTAAGGTAAAGTGGGAGTCTTAACCTGGAGCTTAACTATTTAATGGACAAATAGGAAGAAGCTGCCTTCCACAACCCTCTCTCCAAGGCACTGAACAGCTCTGTAAAAGGTCTGTTAATAATTTAAGGATTTAAATAAGTTTCAGGTTATTCACTGGGTGTTTGCCTGTGGGCTCAGAACAGCCTCCTCCTGGGCCAGGTTTGACCATCCAGTTTGAAAGACTGTCCTTCCCTTCAAGTGAGTACAGGATTGCTGGTGGCTCGGTTTGTCAACGGGAGGATAAGGCTTCCATCAGTTCGGAATGCTGTGACAAAGCAGCTTCAGCTTATGTGGTTTGTTGCTTGACCTCTTCTTTTTAGGTATCGTTTCCTGATTTTGATCATCCACTTCACACTTAGTTTGGCAAACTCAGCTGCTTTAAATAATGCAAGGAAAGCTCCACAGAGGAGTGCGATGGTGTTCCAAGGATTGGCCGTGATTATCTGTGGAACAGAAACAAAATTGGGGTTGGTTGGTTGACTTGCATTAACTTTGACTCTGTGTCTTGGATTTTAGAGCCACAGAGACACATGCCTCTATGTTTATTCAGGTCCTACAAATGACTCAAATTTCCCTAAAGTCTTCTCGTCTCAGTTACCTGTTTCCAGCTGGGTCCCCCATGCTCATCTTGTGGACTCTGCTACTAGGCCTCTGTTCCTTTCTTCCCCTGCTGGGGTGTTGTCCTGTCTGGACTTAATAACCCTCTCGGCTCAGCACTTTCTCCAGCCACTCAGCCAAAAACCTTTCTTTTGCCAAAGTTGTTTATACCACAGAGTCCTGTGACAGCTGTTTACTGTCTAGCAATGATTTAAAGCAATAGCTTTGTCCCCATTAAAGGCTCTCTTACTCCTAGGCAGTGCTAACGGACGGACTTGGCCTTGTGCATGCTGGATAAGCACATTTCCATGGAGTCTTCTCTCTCACCAAACTCAGGCAGAGTTCATACATTCTGGAAGTCCCATGTGTGGCTTTATAAAGCACTTGTAAGCTTGGTTCAGTGGAGTGGTCTAAGACAGGATAAGCCCCTGTTCTCATATGTGCATCTCTGCCCACACCTGTGCCTTTGAGGCTCCTATGACCATGACTCGGCCTTCAAGGATTCTACTTGAACCAAAATAAGCCTCTCATAACAGGTGTAGCTTAGCTTGAAAGACATTGTCGTACACACCTTACATGCATAGCCATAAACTCATTCCTTTCACCCTAGTTGTCTTAGCCTCAAGCCTTCACCTCTCACACAGAGCCTGGGCCAAACTTCAGAGTCATGGGTGACAGCAAAATAAATCCATTTCACAGAATCCATCCTGGATCTGACTTGTTCGTGTGGATTCTCTTCCCTGTTGCCATGATCATCTTAGGACATGATAAGGTGAGGAAGACCACTCTTAGCAGTACTTACATCCTGGACCTTCTGGATGAAGGGATCTTTCCATTCAAAGACCACAAAGAACAACTGAGTACTCTTCTCAGTGGGCGGCCTCTGGTCAATATAATTAACCACGCTGGTCTAGGATAGCACAGAGAGAGAATTAGCACTTCTGGACCTGGGAAGTAGGAGTGGAAGGGACTCAGTCATTGGCTCGCCTAATGGCATCTTCTGGAGAAGAAAAGTCAAGCCTCTTCTATAAGACCTCCTCGCTGGTACAAGAGCCAGCTGGGGCTTTATAGTTCTTGGGAAGAGAAAAGATTGAAATGCCTGATAGTGTTTCGAGTTGTTACCAAAACCTGCCATCAAATGTCAAGACTCACAGTTAAGCCATATTCCCAAATTTCAAAGTACTTGAGTCTTACGAGATAAGCAGTCTAATGCTTCAAGTCTCTAAATACTTAGTAGGTATACATGATAAGATCAGGCAGTAACTATGAAAGAAGCCATGTGAAAATAGTGGTGGAAAGACAGGTTCCAAAGGCTCAGGCCACCTCTGATCTTATGCTCACAGTGGCCACAGGAAGACAAAACTGAGGTTTATTGCAGGGCTGCCCGTGAGGTGACTAAGGCCTTGTGGGATGGGCAGTCATCTTACAATAGCATTTTGTAGTTTTGTTTTCAGGGTCTGTCACCACTTAAGGCAGGAAAAAATCCTGTCCCTTGACTAGACCTAGGGGCCAGGGTTCCACGTGCACAGAGAGTACGCAGCAAAAATCCACTTCAGCAGAGGCAGGGCCAGGTGGTCGTTGCTTGTGATAAAGCAGGCTCTCCAGGAAGCAAGCAGATCCCTTTCCATCCCACAGCCAGGCCTTTTCTGTCTTCCCCAGTTCTTCCCAGATCATAGCAATCCTCCTGCCTCAACACCCAGCATGCTCCTGGCTCCCGACTAAAGGACCAAAAGCTTTCTAACCAGCTCATCTCCTGCATCCTAATAGATCATCACACTCACATGTGCCTGTCCCCTCACCCACTGAAATCCCGGTGGCCTGGTCCCCCTAATCCACAAACCCTAGGAGCATCAGGGAAGTACTTCCCATGTCTATAGGCACAGATAGTTTTGTGGAGAACAAACAAGCAGCTGTGGGCTACCTTCAGCACATGAAGCCTTCACAAGGGCTACTAAAGATCCCTCATCCTAGGACTCCACCCAAAAGACCCTTCTTCCCCTCAAAGTCTCCCGCCACCACAGATTCCAGTGTAGAAATCACGTATGACAAGGAAACAGCCACTACCTCTTGCCGGAACTCAACAGCTTCACGCCCGTCCTCCTCTTTGGTCTTCACCAGTGACATCTTTACCCAGGTGCGGAAGCCTCCTGAGAACTTCCAGCTGGAGTAGGCGCTCTCGCAGGCCTGCATGAAGCCTGCCTTGTCTGGACTTGGGGAAGAGAAGGAGGTCCAGGTTAATCCAGGCCTGACAGCTGGAGCCCACTGGCCAAAATAAACTGTCAAGCTGGTTTCTTTTCTAGTACAATCAGGGGTTCCCTGTTCCCTTCTCCAGAATCTGGCTGCCTTCCCAGGGTTGTTGGTCAGTTAATATCAAAAATAGCATCGAACTTGGCTTCACCCCCATTTGGTTTCCAAACAGTTCTACGGTGAGAGGGCAGCAGCATGATCCCTGTCCTCCCCCATGGGCATACTCGTTCTCTCACAGTAATCCCCCAACAGCTCAGTTTCTAGAACCTCCCTGAGATACGGCTGAAGTATGGCCAGGCCTGCTCCCCCACCCCACCCCGACCCCGACATTTCCAGCATGGACATGCACAAGGCAGGAGACAGGCCCCATGAACTCTGAACACCTTTGCATGAACTCCTGGAAAGAGGAGAAGAGCAGATAGTCGATGGCACTGAAGTCCTCGCTGCTCTGGTTCAGGCCGAACTGGAGGAACACCAGCTCCCGCTTCTTTACTTCCTGTGGCCCCTGGACAATCAGGGCTGACTGCTGCAGGGACATGAAAGCCAGAGTCTTAGTGCTGGGGTCTACACACCTCCCCCCAATGTTCATATAGGCCCACAGCAGGTCACCCAGAGCCCAGCTGAGTGACACATGTCCCTTTTCACAGGCTGCCCACGCTATGGAACACCTTCACTGGGTTGCCTGTTACGTGTTGTGTCTCAGTTAACTGTTTATGAAGTCATCTACTGAATGGGAGGTTTTGATTCAATACCATGAATGAAGACTGTCCATTTTTTTCTTGTGCCTTCTGGATTGCCTTGCTAAGGTATGCCAATGCTTCAACATTCCCCAGTACACCCTGTCATGTTTTAAATCTTACATGTACATACTGCACATGCCTGGCTTCAGTTTTATGTGACACTGTCGGAAACTGGCTCCCAACTGGCCTCTTGCCTTCCTATGCCCTGCATACAGCCCAGGAATTCACTGGTCTGTCCCTGAGTCGGGACTGTGCTGCCAGTGGCATCACCCTGTTCAGTAAGGTGACTGTGGCCTGGGCCAGTCCCTCCCACATTATTTCTCCCATATCCTACTCTGTCTTCTAAATGTGCTTTAAACCTAGCTTTTAATGTCCAACTCGGCTCAGCAGGATGTTTCACTGACCTGATTAACCCACTTTCCCTCCCTCGCCTGTCTCCTTCCCTCGGGGAATAGGCATGTGTTCAAAACTGACCATGACAATGTGGACAGGACAGCACACGAGCCACCCTGCTGGGCCACCCATGTAGTAGTGCCTTTGTGACCCTGCCTGCTAATCAGGCTGCTCCATCAGGAAGCACGTTTCCACACAGGTTCTCTGACCAGCACACTTCGTCAGATGCAACTGGATGCTACGGGAGCTAGAAAAGCCCAAGAGCTTCACCTGTGTGTGGCAGGAACACCAGGCAGAGGAGACACACCAATCCTACAGACCGGAAAGGGAGTGGCCCTGGCTGTATGAAAGCAAATCATCAGCTACAGGCAAACCACCGTGAAATCCAGAGCACAGGAAACCATGAAGTCAACAAAAACCTGAAGACTTAGGCAATGTGAACCGACAAGACCCTCAATGGGGTCACAGGACTCGGTGGGCTCAGTAAGCTAGAGCCTGCACATTGACAGCTTACTGCAGTGTGAACAGGCCACCTCCCAGCCCTGGGTGGCTATCACCAAGGGTGCAGGGCAGCTATGAACATTCCAGTCATCCCTTGCCACACAGACCCTGGGTGGCTGTCTCCAGAGAGGCAGAGCAGCTGTGAGCACTCCAGTTGTCCTCAGCACATGGACACCCTGGTACATCTTACTTTGCCCTCGTTCCTTTTTCTGAGATGGAGCCTCACTGTGATGCTCAAAGTCCTCCTGCCTCAGCCTCCCAAGTGCCCCGGATGCTGGGTGCATACCCCACACCAGGCTCCTCATTACACCATTACATGCTGGGTTTTGCTCAGTGAACAGATGACCGGGGGGAAGAAACTTCTTTTGCCCCAGTACATCCCTGTCATGTTTTAAATCTTACATGTACATTCTGCATATGCCTGGCTTTAGTTTTATGTGACACACTGTCGGCAACTGGCTCCCAGCTGGCTTCCAGCTTTGGCTGGAAGGAACTGAAGAAGGAAGAAAATTAACCATCCCTCTCAAAATGGGAGGTGGTAACTGCATCTAACTTCCTTTACATGAAGACACCTTACTTTTGTACCCCTCATTTCACAGGTTTTATATTTAAATTATGAACCATTATAGCAGTACAATACCTTTGAGTTGAGTGTGAACAGCAGCCTCCAGGAAGAACACTAGTCCACAGGGGAGAGAAAGGGGTCCCCAGAACAGGCACAGCTGAACCCAGTGCCCCCATGCTTCTCAGAGGGAATGAGAGGTGGTGGAGTTCAGATGCCACTTCCCTGGCTGTGGTTTCCCTCTTCCTAACCAGATTCCGCTGGTTCCTTTCAGGTCATTATTTTGTGTTAGCTTTGTGGGAAATGTCCAGTGACACTAACTGTCCATTCTCAGTTAAGGGTATAGGATTCAGATGCAAATAGTGTGTCTGCCTAACACACCCCACCCATGGAAGCACTCTGGGCAGGGAGCACTTGAGGTTCCTACAGCAGTTCTGTCCCCACACCTGAACAGAGGGCCTTCCCTCAACCTGCTGACACCCAGAGAAACACTTACCCAGACAGCGTCCTAGGGAGGCATGCTCTAAATTCTGTCATTCAGTCACACTGAGCTGGGGCCAGAGGCTGGCACTGCTCAGCAGTCCTGTCCTGAGTTACCAGCCTTCTCTGATCAGCCAGCTTCATCAACCACTTCCAGTCACTAGCTCCTCCAGCCTTCTGGTCTACCAGGGTTCAGGGATGTCCTCATGCCCTATCCTATCCTGTTTTACAAGTAGAAATCATTTTGTCTGGCTTCAGGAGGTGACCTGGGAACACTCAACTGTCTCAGTGCAGTCCCTTCATCTTTAACTTACAGTGGTTCCTCTCACCTGAAGGAGCAGAACAGGCCCCACAGCACAACACTCACTATCCTCTGCTTCTGCCCCTAGACACATCTCACCCACTCCTGCAAGGCCCTCTAAACCACCCCCACCATCCCCTGCCCAGATGCACAGAGCAGGGTTGATTCTCTATCTCCATGGTCAGTGTCTTAGTCATTGTTCCGTTGCCATGAAGAGACATGACCAAGGCAACTCTTCTTATAAAAGAAAGATGGGGGCTTGCAGCTTCAGAGGTTTAGTTCACTATCATCATGCCAGGGAGCATGGCACTATGCCTGCTGGAGAAGTAGCTGAGAGCTACATCCTGGTCCACAAGGATGGAGAGAGCAAGCTGCTAGGCCTGGCATAAGCTTTTGAAACCGTAAAGCCCACCCATAGTGACACACCTCCTCCAACAAGGCCACACCTCCTAATCCTTCCCAAATGGTTTTAACAGCTGGGAACCAAGCATTCAAATATTAGGGGCCTATGGGAGCCAATATCATTCAAACCACATCAGCAATGTCCTATGTCCAGAAAGCTTTTGTTCTGATGGGAAGCTTTCATATGGGCCCCTCCATCCCTTTTAAAGGAGAAAAAAAGCCAAGACTAACAATGCAAAGCCACGCCCCTGCCTGAGAACACTGCCTGGTCAAACTACAGGTTCCTAGGCCCCATCCACAGGAATGGTGACAACTCCCGGAAAGTGGCACTTTCAGTGTCACTGATAACTACAGGCAGACTCACCTGCAGCCCTGCCACCCTCCCATTAGCAGGAAGCCCTAAGGGTCATCAGCCCCGAGGGCACATACCTCATACCTACCAGGGACCAAGAGCCTAGCCTACATGCTTTAAGAAAAGGAAGGTTATAATCCTTAGAGGATGTGGCTAACAGAGCACAACCCAGGGAAACCGCCATTACCATGGTATGATTGGAGAAGGGATGCGTGTAATTGATTCTCTGGGTAGTGCAGTTCCTGTCTCCAGGCTGGCCAGGGCTGGCAAGAGGTGGGATGACCTCATAGTGATGCTTACAGCTGAGCAGCTGAGCCTGACCAGGGTATAGGGCAATCCCTGGAACAAACAGAAACCAGCAGGTGTCAGAAGTCACAGCCCTGAGCACCCCACATCACCTCACACCTACCTCCTTGGGAAAAGGGGTGGAGGCACAGGCTCAGCCCTACTCCAATGGAGAGCACACACCACCTCAGTCACCCCTCACCCTGCCTGGAATGCGGTTTCCAGGGCTCACGACATTCCCACCAGAGCACCTCATGGCACAGTGCTGCCTCCCAGGCCCCCGCTAACTGGTGCTGCAAAGGCTCTGGGCTGTAGGGTTCCCCAGAGAGCATTTTTGTGCTCTGCCAGGAACTCCAAAGAACACACACCACACAGAGTGTCGTGTGTGTGCTCAACTGAGGTTCCCAGCCTGGGATGAAAGAGCAGAAATGCTGAGGACAACATGGTATTGAGGAAAAGCTGACAGATGCAAGTAAACACTACCAGAAAGGCCCACAAAGGGTCTGGACACAGAAAAGCCAGGGCAAGAAGCAATAATCAGGCCTGGCTGCAGAGTGATGTCTGGGAGGGAGAACTCCCAACTTTGGTTCTAGCCTATGGGCAGGATGTCCTGGTGTCTGTCACTTGGGGCCAGAGCAAGTGGCACACTCATGGTGGCAGGAGTTCACATTCCTTCTCTAATGCAACATACAGGGCCAGCCGGATCACCCACTCTGGCAGACAGTAGTCCTCGGGATCAGTCATCCCAACGTGCAGAGAAAAGTACACAAGCAACCTGGAACTCTCCAGGGCTAGGCCCTACCTGAGTGTGTGCACCCTCTAGCCCTGAGTGTGTCCTTCATCTGCTACCACCTGCTCCTGCCTGGCAGCAGTAAGAGTGGCCCCACGGGCTCCTATGTTTGAATGCTTGGCTCCCCAGTTGGCAGGACTGTTTAGGAAGGATTAGGAGGTGTGTCACTAAGAGCGGGCTTGAAGTTTCAAAAGACTGATGCCACTCCCAGGATACTCTCTGCCTCCTGCTTTCCATTCCAGCTGTGAGATCCCAGCTGTTCCTGTGGCCATGCCTCTGCTCCACCATCATAGCCTCTAACCCTCTGAAACTGTAAGCCAATTAGATGCCTTCTTTTATAAGTTGCCTTGGCCATGCTGTTTTGTTACAAAAATGGGTAAGTAACTAATACACCACCCTCTTCCCTGACCTTCAGCTCCAGCCAGACTACTTACCTGTCTCCCAAGAGGCCCACCACCTCCCTATAGACACCCAGGGCCCTGCTCCTCCTCCTAACAAAACCTGGCTCTCATGCTACACTCCCTTCCCACCCAGAGCTGATGGCTTTCAGGTGCATGTCTACAACTGAACCCTGTCTGCTCCACTCTGTCTGTGCTGGGAACGGTGGCTGAGGGAGGTAGGGCTTGCTAAGCAGAACCCCAGAGCTGGAGCGCTGACGCCCGACCCAGCAGGCCATACCTGGAGCATCGTAGCGGTCCACCTCCTTGTACGACACGGACATGACAGGGTGCTTGAGCTTTTCTCGGAAGTCTGTGATGGTCTGGTAGACCAGGAAGACAGCCACAGCCATGAGCAGCAGGTAGATAAAGATGAGCAGCACGGAGAAGACGTTCTTCAGGCAGGCCTTGCTGAAGCGGATGCTGCTGGAGGCAGACTCGCTGTCTACACCTGCAGACAGGACAGCAGAGAATCAACAAGCAGCCAGCAATGGTCTGCTTCCTTGAGGCCCTCACCTACCTTATGGAGGAGGCAAGGATGCCCTCATCACAAAGGGTACCAAGAAACATCACCTCCATTCCTCCCCTCCTAGCTACCAACGTCTCAGTCAGTCAGGCCCACATAGTCTCCTTTCCCCCGCTTAACTTTCCCATCTTTCAATCCTGGAACTGCTCACATCTGTCATTCCTAGACTTATTTTGAAGCACTTTTCATAACCACCGTACCCTGCTTTCACTTAGAAATGCCCTTTCCCAAGGAACCTTCTCTCGGTGGCTAATCTGACTGGGTCCCTCTGCTATGTGATACAGACACCATACAACCAGCAACCATGTCTAATAAGATAGACTGTGTCCTCTCAAAACATGAGCCAAATAAATTCCTTCTACCTTAAAGTGTTTCCTGCCCAGAGACCAGCACTGTAGCACCTTGCCCTCAGACAAGGGCACCAGGTATGTGTGTGCATGTGTGTGCCGGGGTTCCCTGGTAAGAGCCACATGGGATGGTGCTTGCTATGGCAGCCTGGCTCACCTTCCCATGGTGTTTCTGCCCTTCAGCTCACACCACAGCTTCCTGAGGAAAAGGCCAGCTATCTCTGTGGCAGTGGCCTCCAATAGGGACCGATGTGGTCACACCACCTGCCTCAGATGACAACCATAAGATCTGAACAATGCATTGAAATTTAATGAAGGCATTAAAGAATGGGCAGACGCAGGCTGACAGTGCAGAGAATCTACACTGGAGAGAACGGCCCCGTGAGATGCTTCGGTGCCTAACTTCTTGCCTGAAGGTTTATACTAACCCCTAATGACATGGTTCAGGGTGACAGGGTTCAGGGCTGAAAGTGAAGGGGAGATCCCGAGAGTAGGTCAGTCCCAGAGAGGTGAGATCCCTAATTATGCAAATAATTGATATGCCCAAATGGAGATCCCAAGGGCTGGGTGAGCAGATCTGAAGCATGAAGAGAAATGAGTGATTCCAGCTGCTACCACGGAAGGCAGTCAAACCTCAGCACATCTGCCTTGCCATGCTACCTATAGCTGATCTCCCCACATCTGCCCAGGAGAAACACCTCTGGAGCCTAAGGCTTTCAAGAGACGACTGACCCAAGGGGGAGGACCCAGGTGGGAGGACTGTAGAGGGAGGGATGACCTGCAGTCAAAGTGCGCACCATCTGCCAATGGGCTGCGCAGATAGGAAGTGCCCTGAGGAGAGAGCAGCATGGCATGCCTGCTTTCTGAATGAGCACTGCCAGCCCTTGCTAACTCCTCCCTAACTCCAGCTTCCCAGGCCTTCTGAACGAGACAGACCACCAGCAGCTCTCTAGGAAGTCTCCAGGCTCCTAGCATGGGGGGGGGGAGGGGACCACCAACACAACACGGGGCCAGACTGCTGATACACCAAGCTCTGTGGACTAAGCAGCTACCAGGTTCTCTGCCTCTCCTGTAGGCAGACAGACATGGCTGAACTTTATCATGTAGGCCAGTCTAACAAATGCTCTTTCTCTCTCTCTCACACACACACACACACACACACACACACACACTCTCTCACTCACACTCTATTCTGTTCTCACCTTACTCATTCTATTCTGTTCACCTAAAAGAACATGGCTAATACACCAGTGTTCAATTTAAAAATTACTAGACATGAGGGGTAAGAGGGATGGCTCAGCAGTTAAGATCACTGGCTATTCTTACAAAGAACCTGGTTCAATTCCTCGTACTGATGAACAAAGGCTTCAGGAGTTCAAACAGACATGACTAGGAGAGATCTCCACCATGGAATTGTTTCAGCTGAAGCACAGGGGTAATTATGTGACACAAAACATCAGCTTCCAAAATTTAAGACTTTTATTTTGGGGTATGTATGCCCTGTATGCTGGGGAAGGTTCCTACAAGGACCAGAAGAGGGCGCTGAATCTCCCAGTTAGAGTTACAGATGATTGGGAGGGGCCCCACATAGGTGTCAGGAAACAGACTCAGTTGCTCTGAAAATTCTAAGTGGAAGAATAAAATCAGCGGGAGTCAAGTGTGGTAGCCCAACTCTGTAACCCAAGCAACCAGAAAGCCAAGAACCAGGAGATCTCAAGGCTGGTGTGGACTTGTGACCCACTGTCAAAAAGGAGCTCCCAATAGCAAACATCTACATCAACACAGGGAACCTGGGGTACAGAGACACTGCAGGGACACTGGCCCTTGCTCTATCACAAGGGCCAGATCCTGATCCCACAGAGGAAGCCAGACTGAGGGGAGCAGGGGTAGACAGTTGCTGGGGATTGCTACCTTCTGGCCTAAGCCAAGAAACATGAATTCCCAGCTCCAGGGTAGACCCTGCCTCAAAGTAATAGATGACAGTCATTGATACAGGAGAATATGCAATACCCTCTTCTGGCCTACATGCAGGCATAGGCGCACACATTCACACACAGTAAGAATGACCAGGGCACAGTGGCTCAGGAGTTACAAGCACTTGCTGTTCCAGAGGACCCCAGTTCCATCCCCAGCACTCACTTCAAATGGCTCACAGCTACCTAGAACTCCAGCTTCACTGGATCTAACACACCCTCTTCTGGCCTTCATGGGCAGTTTCGCATATACATATGCACATATAAATAATAAATAGAGCCTAATGGTGGTGGCACACACCTTTAATTCCAGCACTTGGGAGGCAGATTTTTGTGAGTTCCAGGTCAGCCTGGTTTACAGAATAAGCTCCAGGACAGCCAGAGCTACACAGAGAAACCCTGTCTCAACACTCTCCACCAAAATAATAAATCTCAAAACATGTTTAAATAGGCAATTTTTGTTTTTGGTTTTGTTTTTCAATTAGTAATAATCACGCCTTGGATAAACCTCATTGGCTATGATACTGCCATTGCCCAAAGCTTTTGGTTTTGTTTTTCAAGACAGGATTTCTCTATAGCTTTGAAGCCTGTCCTTGAACTTGCGCTATAGACCGGGCTGGCATCTAATTCACAGAGATCTGCCTGCCTCTGCCTCCCAAGTGCTCAGATTAAAAGCGTGTGTCATCACTGCCTGACTCAAATAATGCTGCACCTCAAGGAAGCAAATCCAGGGTCTCAGGGATGGCCCAGCAATTAGAACACTTGTTGCTCTTGCAGAGGATGAGCTGATTTCCAGCATCCACACAAGGGGCAGACAGCCACCTGTAACTCCAGCCCAAGACAATCCAATGCCCTCTGCCAGCTTCCTCAGGCACACACATGCATAGTGACACAAATTAAAAATAAAAATTTAGGTTGATGAAACAACGAATTTCTTTAAAAATTTAAAAAACTAAATCTAAAGTTAGGAAAACAGAGATCAGAGAACATGTAGATGCTAAAGAAACAAAATGCAGGGCTGGGGATGTCACTGGTCACAATTTCGATCCCAGCACTCAGAAGGTGCAAGCAGGAAGATGGGGAGCTAAGGCCAGCCCCCCTATATAACAAGGACAGCCTGAGATACATCAACCCCTCAAAAACACAAAAACATGAAGAAAGAGCTATATTATGAGACTCACCGATACACCAATGTACCTGGAGAAGATGAAATCAGGTCTAGTTACACAAGCCAAGAACTGGAACCAACCTAAAGGTTAGGGCTGGGGAGATGGCTCAGCCAGCCAATCACACAGGTGGATCTGAGTCCAATCCTAGGACTGTAAATGTAAAGAAGCCATGTCTGGAGGGCCATGCTTGTGATCCCAGAGCTGGAGAGATTGAGAAGACATCTCTCTGGGAACATGCTGGCAGGGAGTCTTGCCTACACAGTACACTGAGCTCCTGGACAGTGAGAGACCCTGTCTCAAAAGAATAGAGACAGGAGAGGCAAGGATCTACAGGACCCCAAGAGACCCAATTATGGCAAATCAAGTCTGGAAGCTCAGAAATTTAAAAACACCCACACAAGGCAATATACCTCCTGGTGTGCATCCTCAGTGGTTGGTAAGGGGAACTAGGTCACAAACTATTTGGTCACTCTGGTGTGGTAGATTGATTACAAGATAGCAATCTAGGAGCTTCCCGGGAGTCTGATGGCTCCCTGCCTTGTGAAGTAAATACCAATCAGAAGAGAACAACAGTGAAGACATTCCATATATTTATGCAGATAAACCAAAACCTCAGGGTAGGACAAGTTCCAAGTCATCCTCAGAGAGTTGAAGACCAGCACGGACTACCTAAAACCTTATCTAAACAGGAAGTTTAAATCTTCATTTGTGATGTGGATGATCTACAAACAGATACAGGCCCAGAAAGGCAAACATCACACAAGCTCACTCAGGCAGAAACAGCTGACCTCACCAGTGGAGAAAGAACAGTGAGGGCCAGAAATAGGGAGAGGAGCATGTGAGCCCACAGGTTCTCAGACAAGAGACAGGAGCTGTGTGCCCCGAGGTCCTCCTGCACGCTCTTACCACAAAGTAGTAACATTGCATGGGACGATGTGCTAGTTACCATGCTGGGATCGTCACAGAATGCACACAGGTGCTCAAGTATCACAGCAAACCCTGCAAATATGGACAATCCTGTGTCAATTTAAAAACAAGCCACACCAGGAAGACAGCTTCGTGAACAAAGACACTTGCAAGCCCAACAGCCTGCGTTCAATTCCTGGAGCCACCCGTAGTGAGATGGGTGTAGTGGGGACAGGTGCGGACATGGCCTGTGACCAGGGAGAATTAGGTCTGGGGTCAATGACCCTAGAGCCTCTCTTACTTCCTGGTGGGAGACAGAGCATCCAGAGGCATGGATGGAACCTGCTGGCGGTCATCTGTCTCTGTTGTAAGTGATTTCTCCCTGAATAAACATCCATCAGCCTATCTGTTTTCCCCGATGCTTATTTTTCCATGATACCCACTGTCACCCTCTCTCACACAATACATGTTTAAAAAGAAGAAGAAAAAAAACCACCAATGAGACAGTAGGGCTCAGAGCGCCTGAGTCTGCGGCCCTCATCTACAAAATGAGAACATCACTTTGCAGAGTTCTTGTGAGAATTAGGGGGAAGGGGTTGGAGGGGGATGGCAGAACCTGGCATGGAATAGCAGTGGGAAATAGTAGCCACTTTGCCTTCTTCCTTGCTCTCCTCTAAGCTATGAGCAGAATCACAGGACTTCTCCCCACAGACAGAGGAACCAAAGGAACAGAGCCCTCCTCCCAGCTCACCTGAGGAGAGGGGACCACACGGGGCTCCGTCCACTCACACCCCCACCCACCCACCCAACCACCTACCCACACCCCCATTCACCCACCCACCCCCACCCACACCCACCCAGCCACACCCCCACTCACCCACTCACACCCACCCACCTACCCACCCACCCACACCCCCACTCACCCACCCACCCACACCCACACCCACCCACTCACACCCCCACCCACCCACCCAACCACCTACCCACACCCCCACTCACCCACCCACACCCACCCACCCACCCACACCCACCCCCACTCACCCACCCACCCACACTCACCCCCACCCCCACCCACTCACACCCCCACCCACCCAACCACCCACCCACCCACTCAAACCTACTCACCCCCACCCACACCCACTCACTCACACCCCCACCCACCCACCCACCCACCTACCCAGCCAGCCACACACCCACTCACTTACACCCCCACACACCCAGCCACACCCCCACTCACCCCCACCCACACCCACTCACTCACACACCCACCCACCCACCCACACCCCATCCACCCAATCACCCACCCCCACCCAGCCACACCCCCACTCACTCACACCCCCACACACCCAGCCACACCCCCACCCACTCAAACCCACTCACCCACACCCCCACTCACTCACCCACCCACACCCCCACACACCCAGCCACACACCCACTCACTCACCCAGCCACACTGACTAGCCAAGGCTAAGGTGAACAACTGTGTCTGTGTCACCAGGCTTCATTGGAGAACAGACATGGTGACAGCAGTACTGCAGGGGACAGGGACCGTATTGGAGGGTGGGGTGTGATCCTGTCAAGCGGGGAGTCAAGGAATGATTAGGCATTAACTAGGAGAGGAAGGGAAGCGCTCATCTCACAAGCCTGGCAACCTGAGTTCAAACACAGGAGCCCAAGTTAAAGGTGGACAGCGAGAACTAGGTTCATAGAGTTGTCCTCCAATCCTCCACGCACACGCCATGGCCTTCATACATATTTCCGTTTTAATAATTTCAGCAATAATTTCCGTTTTAAAGGGGTTGGATGAAGAGGTGGCTCAGTGGCTAAGAGCACTCCCTGCTCTTACAGAGGACCCAAGTCCCCCTTTCCCAGCATCCACGTCTGGTGCTCATGCCACCTCAGCTCCAGCTCCGGGGAGCCTGATGCTCTCTTCTAGCTTCCTCGGGCACCCTCACACGTGTGGCACACTTACACAGACACATACACACATAAAAACAAGTCTTTGGAAAAGGAGATTGAGAATTTCAGAGAGAGAGAGAAAACAACGAAGGTGGCCTCTGCTGGGCAGATGGGCTCTAGGACACAGGCCTGGGTCCAGGAAATCACTGGGCTGATGAGGGTGGAGGCAAGGGAGGTAAACCCAAGCAGAGACTGAAACAGGGGCCCAGGCCTAGGTGAGCTTTCCCACCAGGTAGCAGTGCCGGAGAGGCCTGACAGGAGCTCTGAGACATGACCAGGACATTAGAGTCAGTCATGCCGGGCAGCCCCTCCTCAGGGAGGAGGGAGGTCCTGGCCTCAGGAACTAGTTCAAACCCACCATCAAGAATGCAGACCTTGACTGGGCACACACATTCTCCATCCAGAGGCTGATTAAATATGTAGAGCTTTAGAGCTGGAGCAGACCTTGAGAACCAACAAGTGTGGGGGAGAGGAGGCTGCTACTCCCTCGGCTGGCAAGGCGCCTGGACTGGGCCTCTGACCGCATGACAGAGGCAGCAACAGCCCCCTAAACCCACTTACCCGGCAAGACCCCTGGACCTTGGACTTGGACTGGCTCCGGCTCGCGTTCGTCCGCCTGCTCTGAGTTCTCAACGACCTGGTCCAACTCCTCACTGAGCTAAAGGAGAAGAATGGGGTTAGCTCAGCTGAAACAGTCTTGCCTTTCCCAGGCTAAAAAGCAGAAGCTGCCATTCACATAATTGTCACGCTTGCACAAAGACCACATGACACAGGATGGGTTGAGATGTTCCACTATATTCTCTCACAGCCTGAGGCTGAGAAACTACAGTTTCCAGCAGGGTTGGTTCTCTGGAGTTGGGAGGGAGACCTGTTCCCAGCCTCTCTCCTAGATTCTGGTGACAGCCAGCAATCCCTGGCATTCTCATATCTAACCACTGCCTCCATCCTCACAAGGTCCCCATACAGTGTGTGGCCCTCTGGAGGTGCATCTTTATGGACACTCAAACATGCTGGATTTGGGGCCCAGTACAACCTTGTCTTTGTGTGATACACCTGAATGACTATTTCCAATGCCAAACAAGCTAAGTACTGGAGTTACACTTCAACATCTCCCACTGGGAAACACCAACCCACAGCCAGTCAGTCAATGAAGCAGGAGTCATACCACCTTGGTCTAGTCCCAAAACCCACTGTCTTAATCACTTCCCAGATGAAGAGGAAACGTGGCTTAGAGTCCGCTCAGAGAGAAATGAGAACAACGAAGCTGGAGTCAGATCTGTGTGGGACACAAAAGCCCACGATGTGCGGGAGAAGGCAGAACAGGGGGAGGGATGTGCAGGTAACAAGCATTAATTAATTAGCAACCCCATCATCATTCTCACCTGAACTGTCAGATAGGGGAAACCTTGGCTTTCAGAAAGCAGAGATTAGGGTAAGCGTTCGAGGCAGATGAAGTCAGTTTGGAGTGATTCCATCGTCCAACTGCGAGGGGCAATAGCTTTTCCCAGGTTCAACGTGTGGTCAAGTTAAGTTACAAGGTACTTACCCCCTACCCAGACAGGGTCTCATGTAACCCAGGCTGGCTTCAAACTCATTTCCTCCTCTTCTATGTCCACCTATTATGTGCTGGGCTTAAGCACTAAGCAGGCGCTGCTCCAACTCAGCTGCAAACACCTCCATCCCTCAGGGATCTTTCAAATTCATCCCAGATGATTTAAGTTAAAAAGTGTCAAGAGAGACAATGGTCTCAGGAAGACTGGAACTCCTTAGACTAAGCCAGCCAAGCCTGGCCCAAGTCACCTTAACCCAGGACTGGCGACACCGCCCCCCAACTCCCGGTCCTGACACACCGCAGCCATCAGAAGCCTTTGCCTGTTCCCTGCCAAACTTTTCATTGTGCCCCATCCTGGAGCGCCAAAACCTCTCCTCAGCAGAGTCAAGTCCACTCTCACAACCAACCCAGGCAAGAAAGACGCGGGCCAATCTTTAGGTAGTCTTCCTGGGACTTCAAAACAGACCCGAAGAAGGCCCTTCTAGAGCATTCCACCCGATGGGCATGGCTCCTGGGAACACCCGGTTCCACCTGTGGCCTTGCTCTTCAAGCAGGACAGCAGCCCGTGCTTCAATACATTATCTTCTAACCCCTGATAAGTAAGGAGACACCCACCATATATGGCTGGACCGCGGTCCTCTGAAGCCAAGACCCCCAGACTCCCCAGAAGCAGGCGCTGACTGCATCCTGTTATTCACTCGGGGTCACTAACTCAAACAGGCGCTGTGCTCAACACTCGGTCAACTCGTTTGGAGACCGTCAGTTTCCAGTGTGGCCAGAGTCTCCGTGGATGGAGATGGCCACAGAGCCCAGCTGCTGAGCTGTGGAAACCTGCTCAGAAGCTTGGGCTGCTCCGGTTGGACAAGGTCTAACGGTGTGGGGCGGCTGCACCGCCTCGAGCAAACCTGGAGAGTCATGGCAGATGGCCTAGGATGCGACGCCACAGGCAGACTCCCAGGGTAGGGCCGGGCAGCCCCTCGCCAGAGGAGCACAAGGGGCCCTGGGCGAGCGCGACTCTGCAAGGGGAAACCCGAAGCTCGGGCGACAGACAAAGAGCTGCAAGGGTCCCGGGGCGGTGGAGGCGGCCGGGAGCCACTGAGGGACGGCCGGTCACGCGCTCTCCCCACGGTCAGAGCCCAGAGTCGCTGTCATCGCGCGTGCGGGGACCATGCAGCGGCTCCACCTGCTGCTGAGCCCGCACGCATGGAGTGCCAATCACCGACCTGGGGTCGTGGTGCCCTGCCCGCCCCCCGCGCGCGCCCGCTCGCCCGCCCCGCACCTCCTGGTAGGATGTGGAGAGGTCCTGTCGGATCATGGCACTAGCCCGCTGCGGCTCACCCGGGACCTCGACGCCGCAGCGGAGGAGCGCGCTTCGAGACGTGCCCGCTCCACTAAACTAGACCCGCTCGCGTCTACCGCAGAAGACCAGGCGTGGCGGTGCTCTGCGCATGCGCACCTCCTGCTGCCGCCGGGCCCACGCGGGCGACGCTGGGAGTTGTAGTTCTTTGTGCCGGGAGAGGCTGCGAGAAGAACCAGTTGGGCTCAGCCTCCTGCCAGAGAAGTAAACACAGAGTCTTACACTTCCTTTCTTTGTCGAGCAGAGGAACCGGGTGCTTGAGTGCTGAGTGGCACGGGGTCCAGGTCAGCTGGGCTGGAGCGTCCAGTAACGGGAAGAGGAAACTTGGCCTTGTGGTTTATAATGGTAATAAATGTCCAAGCTCTCCGTGCACTTATGTCTTGATCCTTCCAGGCATCCTGCAACGGGAACATTTTTCTTACAGATTAGGAAATGGAGGTGCTGGGGATACCTTGTATCAGAAAGGATAGGGAGAGGGTGGTGACTAAGAAGTTATTTCATCTGGGAAAGGACCAACAAAATTCAGGGAGGCGGGGGCTGGAGACAGTCTCTCACTTTGTAGCAACTGTGTGTGTCTCAGCTTCCCAAGTCCTAGGATTACACCATTTTCCAATTCATATGATCTTTATTCTCTCTCTCTCTCTCTCTCTCTCTCTCTCTCTCTCTCTCTCTCTCTCTCTCTGTGTGTGTGTGTGTGTGTGTGTGTGTGTGTGTGTCTGTCTGTCTGTCTGTCTATCTGTCTGTCTGAATATATAACTGTACTCCTTGTGTGCAGGTGACCATGGAGGGACCGAGAAGGCATCACACACATTGCAGCCTCCTATGTAGTGCTGGGAACCAAACCCAGGTGCTCTGCAAGATTAACAAGTGTAAACTGCTTAGCCATCCTTCAGCAGTTTCCATCATTCTGTCTGGCTCTGCCCCCACCCACGATTTTCTCCATGTTCTGAGCCCTGCTTTCATCTACCACTACAGCCAACACAGCAGTATCACAGTAACTTGTGAGAAGCAGAAAGGACCGTTCTGCAAACACCCACATACCTGTTCAGCCTTAAGCCACAAGCTCTAAAAGTGGGGAGAATGTCTGTGCTGTGACTGGGTGGATTCGAGGACCACATCTTCCTCCTCTCACTGCCTAGAGCCACTCAGCTGTGAAGCAGACAGAGGCTGCTTATTGAACCTCAGCGAGGTGCCCCCTGCAGCTGCAGCTTGGCCCTGCCCCAAGCTACTCATGACACTTGACTCCTTCCCCTCTCAGTGGCAAGCACAGTGGCACCAGTCACATCAGGGCAGCCTGGATGGAACTCTGGAAGTGCTCCTCTTTGGGAGGTCTTGTATCTCAAGGTGTTTACCAGCAGCAGCTGGAAGTGCCCCCTCTAGTGTCAACAGCTCTCACCCAGGCCTGAGTAACAGGATCCTTAGCTACAGGGTCCTGTTTTACTTGTAGTTCTTACATACACCTAGATACCAGGACCCTTCATTCTGCCTTGAAAGCAGCCCATATTTCAGCTCCCTAAACTTAGGGAGTCTGAGACCCTTGGCCCTCAAGGCATGACAGCTCCCGGAAGTCTTCCAGTAACCAGGTGCTACCGTTTCTCTTTTCAGACTTGCTTTCTCCAGCCTTGCTCCTGACTCTCTTGTCATCCTTGTTCCTGTGCTGGCCATGCACTCCAACTGCCCAGTGACTTCTCCTTTAGCTGCCAAGCAGCTAGCTATCTTGCTGCTTTTGCAGCTCAGACTTCTGATTGCTCGACTTTGGTTGTTGTTGCTGCTGCTGTTTCTGTCTCTACTGCTGCTGGCTTCCTGTTCCTAGCACTGCCTGCCCCACTGAAAGTAGGCAGACAGGATCACTACGGATAGCTTCTTTTGGGGGAAAATGTTGGGACACCAAGGGAGGCAGTACACTGTCAGAAAGGGGTCCTCTTACTAAGTGAGCTTAACAGTCTGTTTATATAGTCAGAGAAGGGGTATCAAATCAATCACAGAAAACTTCACATGCAAATGAAGGTTTGTGTTTTTACCAATCACACTGGACCACCAGGTGGGAGTGTCCTTTTTCTGGCCTAACTAGAAATGGTTGTCAGTTACCTAGAGTTCCACAAGACTTGTGACAGCAAGTAGTCTGTTATGGAGTGTGTGAAACAACCCTGGCTGAGGTTGTATCTTCAAGAGCCAAAGCAACAGGCTGTAATAGGTGGATAGTTTTCTAAGGTTCCTGGGTAGTGTTCAGAATGGCTGGTGCAGCCGAAAGGTAATCAGCTGGCTATCTATCTGACAGTTTTTCTGCCAAAGACAGCCAGGACATCCCAACCAGGGCTGGTTATGGCATCCAAATGCCCTACCTCATAAATTTATCAGAAATGATCATCAGAAGGAATACTTAAGAACTTAGCGGACTTTTGATAAAAGTTTAACCATTCTCAATACCTGCCCAGTGTACCAGGGAGAAGTGGGTTTCTTTTGTTTGTCTTACATCACCTCCCATGCACCCTAGGTGCTCAGCCCTTACATCTATTAAATGGGCCATTATATAGACAATACACGCTTGATCATAGCCAAAGCCCGAGAAGAAGGTACAGTTTGTATAGCACCTAAGACAGTGTAGGAGCTCAACAAATATTGGTTAAGTTTATTAATAGAATTCTGGCTTAGCCATCTCATTTAACTAGAGTTCACTGTGCTGGTTGGTTTTATGTCAACTTGACACAAGCTAGAGTGATTTTGGAGGAGGGAACTACAATTGAAAACCTGGTTCTGCCAGACTGGCCTGTGGGCAAGCCTGTGGTGCATTTTCTTGATTGATGGTAGATGTGGGAGGGCCCAGCTCACTTGGGCAGTACTACCCTGGATTGGTGGTCCTGGGTTCTCTGAGAAAGCAGGTTGAGCAAGCCATGAGGAGCAAGCCAGTAAGGAGCACCCCTCCATGACCTCTGCTTCAGCTCCTGCCCCAACTTCCCTGGATGATGGATTTAGAAGGTGTAAGATGAAATAAATCCTTTCCTCCCCAAGTTACCTTTGGTCATGATATGTTATCACAGCAATAAAAACCCTAAGTAAGACATTTACCAGACAAAAATATAAGCAACTCATTAATTCTCTCACTGTATCGGTAAAAGGGTAGCTGATGGAATGTGCCACACATAGGATTTTATAGCCGAAAGGAACCAGATAAACCTACCCCAGCCATACTGTGCAATGATAAATCTGGAGTTAATACTGGCTAATGCAATAGTCAACCCAGTTTAACACATACAATGTGCCATGCCCACACTGGATCCAGAAGTGACTAAGACAACCAGCTCTCTCATTCCTGAGGCTTTGTTGTGTGAGTGCAGAGAGGCATAAAAATAGAGTTTTTAGCCTTTGATATCCCCAAGGCTTCTTGTCCCACCCTGAGCAGTCACGCTTCAAAGGAGTGTGACTTCTGTTTTGTCACACCACATGCCTGTTTCCTCGTGTCTTCCTGTTTGCTTGATGTATTATTAGCAGGCATGTATGAGATTGTGGGTTGTAAGGCTTGTGAGGCAAGCGCTGTACCACTGAGCCATCTTGCTGCCCCTCATGCTTCCTACCCTTGCCCTCTGTGCAGCACTGGACCCCAGGACACACTTTCCTCCAGGCTTCCGGGACCCCTAGCTGATACCCTCCTCTTCCTTCCCAGTCTTGTCTGGCCGCTCCTCCTGGCTCCACAAGGTGACTATTTTCAAAACTAGCTTCTCTGTCTCCTTTTCTCTGATTCCTGGGGTGCTGTCTCATGGCTTCAATTACCCTCTCTGTCCCAGGGTCTTGTAATGATTTTATGTCTCCTCAAAAATAGGGTCATTGGAGATTTAGTGGGACATAAGTGCAATGAGATAGGCCCTATCCAATAGGACCTCATGAAAAGATGGAAGGTATCTTACTTACTTTCCTATCACTGAGATATAGCACCATGAGCAAGGCGACTTATAAAAGGAAGCATTTACTTTGCTTTCCATTTCAGAGGTTAGAGTCCATGAGAGTGGGGTGAGGCCCATATCTTGCTTGGTCTGCAACCATGAGCCAGAGAGAAAGCTCTGAGAATTCCATAAATCTTTTGAAACCGCAGAGCCACCCCCCCACACACATCTCTCCTCCAACGATGTCATACTTCCTAATCCTTCCCAAACAGTTCCAACAACTGGGGACAAAGCATTCGAATATATGGGCCTATGGGAGCCATTCTCAATCAAGCAGCCACAAACAGTGATGTGAAGACAAGATAGGAGGACACCATGTGATAATAGAAGCAGCCTGGAGGGACGCAGCCCAGCAGGTCAAAATGGGTCCAGTTACCACAAATGGCTGCAGATTTCACCGCTGTCCCTGGACCAGCTATGCACCCGGCTCAACACAAAATCACAAACTTACTTAAAACATTTGATTTTTTTTTTTTTGTAACTTGACTGCATAGTTCTCAGACATAAACTTTGCAGATGATAATATCATGTCACAATGCCAAAAAACTGGACACATCTACAAATCATCCAGTTTGTGGTCCTTTGGTGCAGTGGCCCCAGGAAACAGGCCCCGAATGTATGTGAACCCATCACTGCCAGCTCTCTGAGCCCTCAGCTTGTGTGCCCAGTTGTTCGTATCACTTCTCTGCTCAGACTCAACCCAAAGACAGCAGAGGGCAAAAGCAGGAACCTGGCACCCAGATGCCCAAGTCTTGGCTCTGCTCTGACTGACCCTGTGGTCTTGGTAGTTATTTTAACCTGCCTGGACCTCAGTTGCCTTTGTGTAATATGAACCTATTGCTACCTGTTTGTGATGGTTAAACTTGACTGACAACTTGACTGAGATATTGGTGAGGCATTTTATCCTCATGAGGGTAAATAATTTATCAAGAAATATTCAGAGCAGGGTTTCCATTGAATTCAGTCCAGACGAAGTGCTGCCTGAAGTTGGCAGGTCTGGGGAAAGGGAAAGGGCCAGTTGCCCACAGAGGTCAGGAAGGGTGTCAGGTCCCAGGAGACTGGAGTTACTGATGGTTGTGAGCTGCTGTGTAAGTGCTGGGAATTGAGCCCAGGTCCTCTAGAAGAGCACCCAGTGCTCTTAACCACGGAACCATCTCTCCAGCTTCAGTTCCTATTTTCTTTGCAGATAACTATTGCTTCCAAGTGTTTTTAAAAATGAGTCTGGGTTCGCGTAGCAAAAGGCACTTGTGACCTCTGGAAAATCTGAGTTCAGATAGATGCCAGTGTGCATGATGGGTATGTTATTCAGTTATGAAGAGATCCTTAGTGTCTCTGGGAAGTTGGCAGCTAGATGTGGTCAGCAGAAATCCCCGGAAGGATCTTTTGATTTCAAGAGAGTCCTGGTACACAGGCCTGCAGATAAAGGGGCTGGAGCAGCCAGACTGATCGCTGGAGGGCGGCAGGTGTCAAGTTATGTTTGGCCTGAAGGGACTCTTCAAGGCCACAGTCATGTTAGTTGCTACACAATCCTATAAGAGAGCCAGGGTAGGAGGCTCCCTGCAAGGCCAGCCTTGGTACATTCATAAATTAGAATGAAGGAACACCTGAAAAGAGAGGGAGGGGAGGGGGAGGGGAGGGGAGGGGCAGGGAGGGAGGGAAGGGAGGGGCCGGGAAGAAGGGAAGGGAGAAGGGCGGGGAGGGAGGGAAAGAAGGAGGGAGGAAAGGGAGGAAGGAAGGAAGGAAGGAAGGAAGGAAGGAAGGAAGGAAGGAAGGAAGGAAGGAAAGAAGGGAGGAGTAAGCATGTCAGCTGAGCTTGGTGCCACTAGCCTGCAATCCCAGTTTTCTGGATGCTGAGGCAGGAGGATAACCGCAGTTCAAGAACATTGTAGGCTAAATAGAGAGACTGGAGGAGAGAGAGAAACCAGTTAATAAGCTGGATCATGTCTTACAGGGCCCCTCCCTAGGTGCCCTCGGTGCTCCGCCCCGCCGTCCTCCCGCCGGGTCCTCGTGGTCTATGGCGCGCCTTGCGCCCGGGTGGCGGCTGCAGCCGGTGGCGGCGCTCGCCCTGGTGCTGGCTCTGACCCTGGCGCCCACAGCCCGCTCTGGGCAGACGCGGCGGCCGGTAGAGCGCGGGCCCCCGGTGCGGCTATTCACCGAGGAGGAGCTGGCCCGCTACAGCGGCGAGGAGGTAGGCGGCTCGGCCTGGGCTGGCTGCTGTCTCCAGGCCCCAAGCCGGTGGCAGGGGACCCATGCAAGGCCCTTGGTGGAGTCCGATCGTTGCCCTCATGCCCCACCCCACACTTCCCTCGCCCCGCCTTGTCGCTGTGGGTTTGAGGACAGACCTCAGACCCTTCTAGATTTCAGTGTGAACGTGGGCTGGGGCCACACGGCCTACAGTTTGTGCAGTGGCCAGTCCCTGGGATGGGGTACTGGGGCAGGCCCTGATGATCAGCCCTCTTTTCCTGCTCCTGGTGTCCCAGGCTTTCTGAAAACCCATTTGGTGTCTGGATCCATGGCAATGAATGCAGGGGGAGGGGGAGAAGCAATGCCCCCCCCTCCACTCCCCATGTGGGCAGCTGCTGTAGGTGGGGAGGAAGCTGGAATCTAGTTTGGGGGAATCAGTTCCAGGGTATTGCAGTGCTTTCCAGGAATGAATCCCCTGCCTTCACCGATGGGGAATCTAAAGTGCTCTGTTGTACAGGAGGAAGGACCAATGTTGCTTTGCTGAATATCTCTGGCCTATGCTCTAGCCTCTCCTCTGTGTTAGCCGGCCTTACACAGATCAAATATACAAGGGTCGCTCCAAAGCAGATCCTTAGGAGTCACAGCTTAGTCCATCGGTTCTCAACCCGTGGGTCCCAACCCCTTTGGGTCAGATGACCCTTTCACAGGGATCCCTTAAGATCATCTGAAAACACAGATATTTGCATTATGATTCATAACAGTAGCAAAATTACAGTCATGAAGTAGTAGCGACAAAAATGGTTTTATGGTTGGGGTTACCACAACAGCAGGAACTATATTAAAGGTCACAACGTGCCTTTAATCCCAGCACTAGGGAGGCAGAGCCAGGTGGATCTCTGTGAGTTCGAGGCCAGCCTGGTTTACAGAGTGAATGCCAGGAAAGCCAGGACTACACAGAGAAATCATGTCTTGAAAAACCAAAAAGAAAAAAAGAAAAGAGATGAGAACCACCTGTTTAAACCCATGGGTCCATGAGGACACAGGGATAGGAACATAATGTGTGGTTTGTGTGATACATTATTTGGTCACACTAAACCTTAAACCTTTGGGTGGTACCTGGGCTTGCATTTCTGCTGTGCTGTGTGATTTGGGCCAAGTTACAAAGTCTGACAGATGCCATATTTTCAACTGTATGGTGTTGGCATCAGAGAGAGGGGAAATTTTATTACAGCAGTTTGTAGATGGTGGGGCTGGCTAAGTAGGCAGGGTGGACCAGCAAGGAGGCTGGAATTCTCTAGCAGGTGGATCTCTCTCTCTCTCTCTCTCTCTCTCTCTCTCTCTCTCTCTCTCCTGTAAGGAGTATGGATTTTCCTCCCGCCGCCTGGTCTTGTCCTGCTGCCGCGCCAGCCCCAGTTAACACACCGAGACTCTGTATTTGATATAATTCTGTTGGCCAGTTACTAGTTTCTTATCGGCTAGCTCTATCTTAAGTATTAACCCATTTCTATGTATTTCCACATGGTCTTACCGAGAGTGGAGGAATGGCGGTTCCGTTCTCTCCAGACTCTCCATCTTCACCCCTCCCCCCTACTTCCTCTTTCCTCCTTGTCTCCTAGTCCCTCCTATCTTCCTTTCTTATTGGCCAACAGTGCTTTATTCATTAACCAGTATGAGAAACATATATACATAATGACATCTCCCATCATCTCCTCTTTTCTGTCTAAATAAAAAGAAGTGTTTTAACCTTAGCATAGCAAAATATATCACACAACAATTATCAAGTAAGAATCACGGTTAACAATATTTAGTTTATCTCCCATCATCTCCTCTTTTCTGTCTAAATAAAAAGAAGGGTTTTAACCTTAACATAGCAAAATATATCACACAACAGTTATCAAATAAAAACCACAGTTAACAATATTTAGTCCATTAACATTTAGCAAGATTTGAAGAAAATATTCCATCATCTATCCTATCTTTATGTGTCTAAAGTAACTTATCTTTAATCCTAACTAAGGAAAACTATAACCATAACTATCTGTCTTCAACTCCATCAAAGACCACAGAAGGATAGTATATAAACTCTAAAAATGACAGAGACAACTCACTGCCTGGCCAGTTACCTGAAGTTCTTCTGTAATCTTCCATCTTCAGCCCATAGGCTGTGTCTGGCAGACTCTTTAGCAAAGCACGAAACTTTAAACTGTCTTCTTGTATTGGCAGTTTGTCAGTCATTTTTCTCTGTGTCCTGCAGACTGTCTGGCAGACTCTTCCATGAAGCAGGAACTCTGTAGCAATATCCATCTTGAATCAGCAGTCAATTTTCTGTGGGTCCTGCATGTCCAGTTTATACAGCATAAAGTCAAACTGTCCAGATAAGAGCAGTATCTTGTCCAAATGGCTAGTCTTGCCATATTGGAAGTAAACTCCTTAACTAGTTTCTTCAATGTCCATCTTCCTTTCTGATGCAGGTGGTGTTGCCAGGAGCAATTATGTCTCACTGTCAAGAAAAACCCTAAACCATTTTAAATGCCATATTCTGGAGGTCTTTGACAGGTTTGAAGAATGACTATCTATCTCAAATACATCTCTGTGTATCTTGAAAAACCTAACTAACTTAACTCTAAGCTTTGACTATCATAGGTAATTATCTATAATCTGTACTAAGTTATACACTACATTTCTAACTGAGCTATATAAACACAATACCTAAACAAAAGGAGAAATATAAACATCACAAAATTGACCTTAAATTGTATCAATAAATGAAAATCCATTCCAAAACAACGTATTCATATCTATACCATAATCCCTTTTTTACCTTTAAAAAGATATTGGTTGTGATCATTAACCATTTATAACCAACCCCATATAAATAAAACAAACATTTATAAACAATATTTGGGAATTTGGGCGTCGTTCTTCCTGCTGATAGGGGCGCTGTCATTGGGAATCCTAAGAAGATGCAGAAATCTTGGCTGTAGTCTGCTGCAAGTCTGCCTTGTTCAAGCTGTTTTGAATGTTGGATCACCAGGAATGCTGTTTCAGGGGGTCTGGCTTGCTCAAACCACATTAATCTGGAAGGAATCCACAGCTTTTCATTTTTTGTGGAAACAAAATTAGAAATCCTTTTCCCCAGTAACTTGTCCTTGAACTTAAATTTTGGAGTCAAAGCATTTTTAAAATATATAAATTGAATTAATCCAGCAGTATTTCCTTTAACCATTGTTTCCTCAGCAGTCAGACGATATAAAGACAATATAATGCCATACAGTAACCAGATTCCCTCTGAGCTTTTCATCTTTACGTGGCTTTATTATTACTCTGTTTCTTTTACTTTTTATTTTTTATTTTTTGAGACAGGGTTTCTCTGTGTAACTCTTATCTGTCCTGGAATTCACTCTGCATACCAGGTTTACTTTGAAATCACAAGAAATCTGCTTGCCTCTGTCTCCTGAGTGCTGGGATTAAAGGTATGTGCCACCACACCCAGCTCCTCTTTGTCTTTTTAAAACCATTTTTTTTTTATTCTCTCCCAAGCCTACGTATTTTTTAAAACACACTGTAAACCTTTAGAGGTTTTCTTAATATGAATCTGTCTTTACTATAAATCTTTATCTTTTTCTGGTTATTATCTGGTAAAAAAACAACATTGCTAAAATGAAATTCATAGTTGTTTCTGTGGCGGTTTATCAAACATGGCGGTGGCTATATTACCACCAGCACTGAGAGCTGTGGTCACTGCCTTGGTCTGCGCTGCCATCCAGCAAGGATGCCGCCAGCTTAGAGATGTGGTCACTGCCATTGCCATCTCTCATACACACCAATAAATTGTTAGCAGAGTTATTTAAAAGCCGTGCAGATTTTTGCCGCTTATGCTGAGTCAGGAATCCTCCCTTAAAGGAGACACGCAAATATCTGCTTGTCTCTTGCAAAGCAGAGTCCAACCGAGAAAAATGCTGCTACCAAGAAACCTTGCTTGTTTCTGTTCTTTTGTTCTAAAACCCTTTTATAAGCTTATGTTAAATTTTAAATGGAAGTTCTTATTAGCCACGTGGGCGCCATTTGTAAGGAGTAAGGTTTTTCCGCCCGCCGCCAGTCTTCAAAGTCTGATAGATGCCATATTTTCAACTGTATGGTGTTGGCATCAGAGAAAGGGGAAATTTTATTACAGCAGTTTGTAGATGGTGGGGCTGGCTAAGTAGGCAGGATGGACCAGCAAGGAGGCTGGAATTCTCTAGCAGGTGGATCTCTCTCTCTCTCTCTCTCCCCTGTCTGTCTCTCCCCCATCTGTTTCTTTCTCCCTTTCCCCCTCCCTCTCTCTCTCTCTCTCCTTCCCTCCCTCCCTCTTTTCCTCCCTCCCTCCCATTCTCCCTGGAAGGGGTTTTTGAGATAGGGTCTCACTATGTAGTTCTGGCTGTCCTGGACTCCCTATGTAGACAAAGGTGGCCTCAAACTCACAGAGATCTTAAGGCAGGCACCACCATGCCCACCTAGGTGGAGTTCCTTTTTCCTCAGGGAACATCATGGCCTTTCAGTGGGTTGGGGCAGGTCACACCCACCCAGATTGTCTGTGATGACCTGTGTACATATGACTTCTCTGCCTCACCTGGCTGGGTATTGATAAACTTTGGTTGGTAGCAAAACTCATCTCATGGTTACAGTGAATTCCTCCTCAACACAGGCATTTTGTGAAGATGAAATGAGCTGGGGATACACAAAGTGCTTGGCATGGTGACCCCTGAGCAATGTCAGCTGCTGCCAGCCTTATTAGCTTGTGTGAAAGTTAATGGAGAATGCTGAAGGAAAACCTTAGACCCAGGCATTTCTGTTATCTCTGCCTTTCTATTATTTTCTCCTATCCCCTTTAGTTTGTTGATAAATACCTGTTCTGTGACCTACAGATAGATGGGTCATGGGTGCCGCCTGCAGTTAGAAGAACATGGCCTCACTCCAGGAAGGCAGAGTTTTCTCTGGAAAACAAAACAGAACACCGACAGCAGGTTCCCTCTTTTCCAAAGAAGGGTGCTGGCTGGGACCCAGAGGATGGTGAGGTGCAGGTGCTCTGGCCAACGGCTAAGCCTGCCTGCCAGCTGTGTCCACACTCCATTTTCTTCCTCTCTCCAAGCTTCTGCTTGGCCAGAGACAGGCAGAAAGGCCAGATGGTGAGGCCTCTGTATGTCCCAGGTGTTGTCCCTCCTGCCATGCATATGCTCTCCTGGAGCCCCAATTCTTCAGCCCCTATTCTCCCCTACATCCAGGCATGGTCTCTCTGGGCTGAGGATGCCCTCTGGTGGCCATCAAGAGAGGACAGGAGGAACCTTGTGTTCCAAAGCTGCCTTCCCCTCTGAGTCATTCCTCATTTAACCTCCTTGGGTCCAAACAGCCTTACTCAGCAGGGTGTGGTGGGGCAAGCCTGGAACCCCAACCCTCAGGAGACATTCAAGAGAACTGAGTTCAAGACTAACCTAGGTTACATAGCAGGCAGCTTCTCAAAGCTCACACACACACACACACACACACACACACACCTCTGCACATACATATACACAACTAACAGCCTCACCCATAGGGAAAGTGTTTGAGCACCTTTCAGATTCCTTCCAGTTTTAACTTCAAAGTTTCTGTGAGCAAATTTGGAATTACATTTTCATTGTTCTGGTTTGTGAGACAAGGTCTCACTGTTTAGTCCTTTGTCTTAGGGTTTTCTGTTGCTGTGATGCAACATTATAACCACAACCAAAGGTAACTTGGGAGGAAAGGGGTTATTTCATCTTACACATCATCCACTGAAGGAGGTCAGGGCAGGAACTCAAGTAGAGCAGGAACCTGGGGGTAAGAACCAAAGCAGAAGCCATCGGAGAGGATGCCTAATGGCTAGCTCCTTACAGCTTGTACCTGCTTTCTTTTAGTACCCAGGACCAGCTGCTCAGGGGCAGCACTGCCCACACAGTGAGCTGGGCCCTCCCACATCAACCAAGATGAGCCACAAACCAGTCTATAGGCCAGTCTTATACATATATTTTTCAAGTGAGGTTTTCTCTTCCAAAATGTCTTCAGCTTACATCAAGTTGACAAAACTAGCCAGCCTATTCTGGCTGGCCAGGAACTCTTTATGTAGACCAGTCTGGCCTCAAACTCACAGAGATCTGCCTGCCTCTGCTTCTTGAACACTGGGATTAAAGGTGTGCACACCCACATCTAGCCAAATTACATTTAAAATACTTTCTGTTAGGAAAACACCAGTCTTTCTTCTTGGTTATCTGATTCTTCTTGAGTTTACAGTTCGTAAAGTTTAGATTAGGCCCTTCCATTTTGTGGTCATCTCTCTCGAGTAGCAACAGCCAAAATGATGTTCAGTTCCTTAGTGACTTGGGAAAAGGCATTCCAACATCCCTTTCCACATGAGGAGGAAGGTTATGACTCCCCTCTTTCCAGAGAGCTGACAACAGGAAGGGATGAGGGCCCCTCAGAGGTCAGTGGATTGTCAAAGAGGTCCAGGCTTAAGGAAGGAGGTTCTCGCTGATCAAGTGCAGAAGGAAAGGGAACTTAGCAGTGCAATGGATCGCGTGGGCATTCACCCAGGAAGGTGGCTGTACCCAGGCTAAAGTTAAATACACGAGTAATTTAATTTTTAAAAGTTGTTTTGTATGTCTGTGTCATGCGTGTGCCTGGTGCCCACCGAGGTCAGAAGGAGTCAGGTTCCCTGGAATTGGAGTTGTAGATGGTTGTGAACTGCCATTTGGGTGCTGGGAATTGAACCCAGGCTATCTGGAAGAGAAGCCAGTACTCTTATCCATGGAGTCATCTCTCCAAGCCCAAATAAATCTTATTTTTTTTTAAGAAGCAAAATAAAAAGTGGGTCATTGCATGCTTACACCCACGTATATCTGTTGGTGACAAGATAGCGCTTTGACGGGAATCACCCAACATTTTGTGTTCTTTTGATTTGTATCTTATTTAATTTATTATTTTGAGATAGGGTCTCACATAGCCCAGGCTAGCCTCAAGTTTGATAAGTAGCTAAGGCTAACCTCGAACCTCTGATCCTCCTGCCTCTGCCTTCCGAATGCTGAGATTACAGCATGCACCACCATGCCTGGCTCTCTTATCTGCTTCCAGTCCTCACTGTTTCACAGGATGGCAATGCCACACTTTCTCTGTGGCATTTTATGATCCCTGAACTTTGGTGAATGGGTGAATTTGGTGAATTACCTGAGAGGTGGTGAGCCTGCCAGGATCAAGTCTTGGGACCCCCACCACTGCTTACCCAGCTTATGGGAAACAGTCCTCAATACCTGTGTAGAGAGAGACAGCATCTCCCCACTGCCCCTCACACCTCCCCCTGCCCCTCACACCTCTCCCCTGCCCCTCACACCTCCCCCCTGCCCCTCACACCTCTCCCCTGCCCCTCACACCTCCCCCCTGCCCCTCACACCTCCCCCTCCCCCTGCCCCTCACACCCCCCCTGCCCCTCACACCCTCCCCCCTGCCCCTCACACCTCCCCCCTGCCCCTCACACCTCCCCCCCTGCCCCTCACACCTCCCCCTGCCCCTCACACCTCCCCCTCCCCCTGCCCCTCACACCTCCCCCTGCCCCTCACACCCCCCTGCCCCTCACACCTCTCCCCTGCCCCTCACACCTCCCCCCTGCCCCTCACACCTCCCCCTCCCCCTGCCCCTCACACCTCTCCCCTGCCCCTCACACCTCCCCCTCCCCCTGCCCCTCACACCTCTCCCCTGCCCCTCACACCCCCCTGCCCCTCACATCCCCCCTGCCCCTCACACCCCCCCTGCCCCTCACATCACCCCTGCCCCTCACACCCCCCTGCCCCTCACACCCCCCCTGCCCCTCACACCTCCCCCTGCCCCTCACACACCTCGCCCCTCACACCTCTCCCCTGCTTTCCAGGAGGATCAGCCCATCTACTTGGCAGTGAAAGGAGTGGTGTTTGATGTCACCTCTGGAAAGGGTAAGTGGTTCTTTCTTTTTGAAGAACTCAGCATGAGAGCAGGTGCCTGGAGGAAAGAGGCAAGGGTCTTTGTCAGGCAAGGCCTCTCCGTTCCATCTGAGAGGGCCCTGATGGAGCTAATCCCTGTCAGCATTTTACCAAGAGGTCTTATCTACCTAGGATTTCCTATCAATGCCATGTTCCTATTTGAAGGGCTGTGGAACCCAGTTCAAACCCGATGAGCACTCTAGTTGAAGCCAGAAAAGTGCTCCTTAGTTAAGAGTTGCTGTTGTAGGTGACAGAACATTGCAAGGCCATGTCACAGTTTTCCCAACTGTATCTATACATAGTACCAGGAGTTTATTTTTATTTTTATTTATAGTTTTTTTATTTTTATTTTGTGTATGGGTGTTTGGACTGCATGTATGTCTGTGTACCATGTGCATGCAGTGCTCACAGAGGCCAGAAGGACATCAGATCCCCTGGAACTGGAGTCATAGGTGGTTGGGAGCCACCATGTGGGTGCTGGGAGTTGAACCTGGATCCTATACAAGAGTCAGTGCTCTTAGCCACTGAGCCATCTCTCCAGCCCTGAAAGTGGACTCATCCTGTAAGATCACATAGTAGGAGACTTGGCTTCCTGAGGCTTTTGAGACCAGAGGCTCTTGTCTGTGTTTGTGCATCCATCTACACACACACACACACAGAGAGAGAGAGAGAGAGAGAGAGAGAGAGAGAGAGAGAGAGAGAAGAGAGAGAGGGAGAGGGACAGGGACAGGGACAGGGACAGGGACAGGGACAGGGACAGGTTGAACCAGGACTTTTTGTATGATAATAAAGGTAAGTAGTCTACCACTGAGCCCCTCCTCCTTTCCCCCTTTTACTTATTTTGAAGTGGGTGCAGGCTAGCCTTGAACATGCAGACCTTCTGTGTCAGCCTCCTTCCCAGCTGTGATAACAGGTCTGCTCAGTTGGCAGGTATGTTTCACTTGTGTTCTGGATTGGTGGAGCACCATCCTGGTTTGGTGGAACACCATCCACATGGACTCAGCCCTCCCATCTGCCCTGCTATAGTCATCCTCAGAGCTACAGCCTTTCTGAGGATTGTGGGGGCTGGAGAACCCCCAAGGGTAAGCTCACCTACACCCCCCTCCCCCGCAGAGTTTTATGGGCGAGGAGCCCCATATAATGCCTTGACCGGGAAGGACTCCACCAGAGGAGTGGCCAAGATGTCCCTGGATCCTGCAGACCTGACCCATGACACTGTAAGCCCATGAACACTTGTCAAATGCACTGTTCCCATGCTGTGGATTTTGTTCTTGGTTTTTGTTTGTTGTTTTTTTAAGACAGGGTGTCACTATGTAGTCCTGTCTGGGCTGGAACTCTCTATGTTGATCAGGCTAGCCTCAAACTCAGAGATTCGTTCATTACCACTGCCCAGTGACATAAGCCAAATTCTTAAGCCATAATATTACAGGAAATTAAGGGGAAGGCTTTAGTTAACCTTCCTTCCAGATAACAAAGTATCTGTCTGACATAAATAACTTTAAAACTTATTTTTATTTCTGTGTATGTGTGTGCCGCTATCGGTTTGTGTGCATCACACCTGCAGGTGCCTAGAGAGGCCAGAAGAGGGTGTCAGGTCCCCCGAAGCTGAACTGCCTGGTGTGGGTGCTGGGAACTATACCTGGCTCCCCTGCAACAGCAGTGCAGGCTGCTGAGCCGTCTCTCCCGCCTTGGAAACAATGTCTAAAGAGAAAAGGGTTAATTTGGAGGCTGTAGTCCATGACTGACTACCACATAGCTAGAGCATGCAGCCCAGGAAACCGGTATTCCTCATGATCAGGAAGCAGAAGAGAAAGGGGGCCTGGCCAGTGTCCCACACTTCCTGTGAGGGCAAATTCTGAATGTAAGGACCACTTGATAGGCCCCGCCCTTAAAGGATCCATCACCTCCCAAGAGCTCCACCCTGGAGACCAAACCATTGACAAGGGAACCTTTCATAAAGTGACAATCTCCATCCAAAGTATAGCAGACAGTCAGTGTAGTAGGGCTATGGGGCCGCCCACCCAAGACTGGGTGTCCTGTGGAAGATAATTCTATATGCTCCCTGCATTCTTCCCCTGCACTCCACCTCTGTATAGACACTTTGCGTCTGCACCCTGCACACACATGCTGCACTCACCTGTACATTTATCCTGCACTAACCTCTGCAAGCACACACACATGCTGCACTTACCCAACAACATGTGCTGTACTCACTCCTGCACACATCCCTTACACTGACCCCTGCACACACACATGCTGTGCTAGACCTGCACACACACCCTGCACTCACCCCTGCACACACATTCTACACTTACCCCTACATACACCCACTACACTCACCCCTGCACACACCCACTGTACTCACATCCTGTAAATACTCTCTGCACACATTCTCTGCATATCTAGGGCTGTTTCTTTCAAAGTCCATTGTCTGTAGGCAGAGTTTTTTGTCAGGATCGCAGACTCCCCAAATAAACACACAGAAACTTATTACTGATTATAAATGCCCAGCCAATAGCTTAGGCTTGTTATTAACAAGCTCTTTCAGCTTAAATAAACCTGTATTTCTCATTTACGCTCAACCACATGGCGGTACCTTTTGTCAGCTCATCATGTTCACCTCCCGCTTCCTCTGTGTCTGGCTGGCCATGCTGCCCTCCTCCCCAGAGTTCTCCCAGTCTGCCACCTAACATCTTCCTGCATAGCTATAGGCCCGTCAGCTCATTATTAACAATGACAACAACACATCTTCACAGTGTGCAAAAGAATTAATCCACAGCAACTGTCCATTATTTGGTCTAGGATGGCTTTTTCATGTATTTCTGGCAAGCAGAGACACGATGAACACAAAGGTATCCCGGGGTGAGCCTCATCCATTTTGTACTTCGGATGTGCTGACCCCTGCAATTTCCCTAAATGCAAGAACCTCAACTACATAATCTGTGATGGTGAGGACTGTGTTCCTGTTCTCTCCTAAAAAAAAAAAAAAAAAAAAAAAAAAAAAAGTTTTTTTTTTTTTTTTTTTCTTAAGTTTTTTTTTCCTCTTGCATTTGGGATTTGGGGTAGGTAAGACAGGGGCAGAGAGAAGATAGTGCCAGACACAATGTGGTCAAATTCAATTTGCTCACCTTCATGTCCCATTTCTTCTCCCCAAGACGGGTCTCACAGCTAAGGAGCTGGAGGCCCTGGATGACATCTTCAGCAAGGTGTACAAAGCCAAATACCCCATTGTCGGCTACACGGCCCGCAGGATCCTCCATGAGGATGGCAGCCCCAACCTGGACTTCAAGCCTGAAGACCAACCTCATTTTGACATAAAGGATGAGTTCTGATGTCTAGCTGCAAAGGGCTGGTTCTGGGGTGAGGTGGGGGAACAGGGGTTAAGTGTCCCATGGAACAAGCTGGGGAAGTCCTCTGGTCCCCTGCATCTGAATAAAGCTGAAGTTTAACTGGGAGACTGCTTTGTAATGTCCTTGGTGTAAAGTCCCTTGCCTGCCTGGGTGTCCCTGCCCACTGCACCATCGACATCTGGGTAGTGGGGCTCTAAGGGACCATCAATACTTCTTCATCTACTTCTGTGCTCTCCAACTTCTCTACCACAGCCATGTTTACTTCTCAGCAAGGATAAGAATAAACACCCCATTGCTGCAAAAGAATTCCGTCTCTGCACTTCACACACAGCTTGCAGGGGAGCTGGGTTAGGCTTGAGGTTCCTATCCTGGTCTTGCTGTCCTTGTCTGCCTGTGAAGAGGCGGGGAGATCAGGACCAGGGAGGCAGTGGAGGTCAGGGCCACGTGGGAACTGGCCCCAGACAGACTGTGGTAAGGAGCCTGAAGTCCAGCATGGCCGAACCTGGCCAGGGGTCATTCAGAGAACGCTGGCACCCACACCTCACACTGTCTTTCAGGTCCCAGTACCTCTTCTGGAGGTACTGTCCCTGCTGGTGACATGAGCACCATTTGAAGACAGTTTTCATTTAGGTTCTGGGGACTGCAGGGAGCTACTGTACTGGTAGACAGAATTACCTAGCCCAAATGGCAGTCATGCTGAGACTGTGTTAGACTAAACCTTCAGACCCTGTAGGAGCAGGAAACATATTTATATAAACCTTTGTTATTTGTTTGTGTGTTTATTAATTTATTTGAGGCAGGATCTCAATATGTAGCCCTGGCTGGTTTTGAACTCACTATGTAGACCAGGCTGGCCTTAAACTTGGAGAGATTAGCCTGTCTCTGCCTCTCAGTTTAAAGCCATGTGCCAACATGCCCAGTTTATCCTTTGTTATTTACTAAAATAAACAGTCCTGGAGAGATGATTGGGCAGTTAAGAACAGATACTATTCTTGTGAGTTGAGAATTCACAGCCACCTGTAACTCCAGTTCCAGGGGACCCAGTGGACACCTGCACTCATAAACACCTGCAGCCCCCTCCACATACACACAATTAAAAATAAAAATTAATTCTTTAAAAAATAAATACAGGCTGGAGAGATGACTCAGCAGTTAAGAGCACTGCCTGCTCTTCCAGAGGACTTGCATGCAATTCCCAGCACAGATGGTTCACAAACATCTGTAACAACTGTCCTAGAGAATCTCCCTCTTCTGGTCTCTGTGGGCACCAGTCATACACGTGGTATATGAACTTACATGCAGACAAAATACCCACACACATTGAACAAACAAATAATAAACAGCAAGAGGCTGGGATGCAGCTCTTTTGGTAGAGTGCTTGCCTATCATGCATGTGGCTCCGGATTCCAGTCCCAGCGCAAAGCAACTGGGGTGGTGACACATACCTGTGATCCTAGGGCTCAGGAGGTAGAGGCAGGAGGATCGGAAGTTCCAGATTGTCCTCAACTATATAGTGAATTCAAGGCCAGCCTGGAATATATGAGTCCCTGCCATCAGTGTGTGTGTGTGTGTGTGTACAAAACTAAAAATTAAAAGCTACCTCTAAAAATTTTTACACCAGAGGACTGTCCGGATCTGTGCCCCAGGACTCAGCACCCCTACAGCGTAGCCTGGGAACTGTTGTTAACCAGTGCCTCAGGAAGCTTTGACTGGACCAGAGGCACTGGGAAAGCCAGTTCTGGGCCTTCCCACACCTCAGAGAGAGCAGGCTCAGATCTTTTCTAAGGACTGGCATGACTATCACTGTCATCTTATTTGGTGGTACATTCCAGGGCTGGGGATTTGATGGCAAGCCTCTAGACTTGCTGTCATGGACTCTTCAGCATGGGCATGTAGCAGATGCGTATAGCCTCGTAGAGATGGGTTTCACAGTCATACCTGCCTTTGAGTCCTGACTGTGTCACTACAGCTCTGCTGAGCTAGTTAGCTTCTTGGAGCTTCAGTTTCTTAATGTTTACGAGAGCAAAAATAGCCACAGCACAAGGCTGGCTCAGGACTAGGAGGAGGCAGGTGTGTATTGTACCTAGCTGGCTCCTGACACCTGTGAGTGATGCATTTCTCCACATTTGTCCCCCTCTGTTGCATGTCACCTCCACCTTTTGGGCCAGTAGGTATCTTCCAGCAGGGGCATGGGCCACAGGTAGGTAGAAGGCATTTAGGTGTATGTCCAGAGTTTGGGAGCAGTAGACTGGGCTTTGGAGGAGGTGTAGATGAACAGTTAGTGCCAGCCTAAGCCTGAGCCCTAGCCTGGCTCTCCCTCCTGCAGCTTTAAGGCTAGAGCCTCCCTGCATCCCATGGATGGTGGGGAAACCTACCTCTCTCTAGAGAAGGCCCAGACTGCATTTTTGCTACCCCCTACCCCATCACAACTGTTTCAGTTGCCCCAGCTGATCTCATCCCCAAACCTCCCTGATGACTTGTCCTGGTTCCCACCTTGCCCAGGACTGACCGTACACTCTGGAAGTGCTGCACTCAATCTCCTTTGGACCCCCTCATCCACCCTGGCTGCATACCCTATCTTCTCTTAGATACATCATCAGGGGAGCCTCTTGGACTCTGACATAGCCCTGTGGTGGCATAGACCCTGCTGAACTGAGGTAGTATTTTAAATTTCCAGCTTCCCATGGGGCTGGATCCTCTCATGCAGTTTGCCATATCCTAGTGCCAAGTCCAGAGCCTTGAATGTTTGGCACCATAAACAGCAGGGACATGAACATGTGGGAATGAATGAATGAATGGTGAATGAATTGGTGCTTCTCTCTCTGGGCATAGCCTTTCCCAGCCACCCTCTCTACCACATTCAGGGCTGTGTGTGTGTGTGTGTGTGTGTGTGTGTGTGTGTGTGTGTGTGTGCTGAGCTTTCTCTCTTCCTGCCAAGCTCTCCTCTCTGGCACAGCCTACTTGGGTATCACCTCCCAAACCAACCTTGCCAGTGTTTCCACAGCTCATCAGCCACAGCCTGCATGAAAATAGCAAGAGTTCCCAAGGCAACCACAGCAGTAAGTGGTAACCAGCCTGGACATTCTGGGAGGAAAACAAACACTGCTCTTGCTGGTGATCTTGGCTACCCAGAGAGGCAGCTGGGCTGCCTCTTCTGGACTCAGACCACCTGCTCTGGAGCCCAGAGGGGAAATGGGTGGGAGGAGACTTCCTGGGGCCAGACCATTGTCAGTCCTGGGGTTGCCACCCTGTCCCCTCTCTGTGGGGTCACTGAGGGCCACAGCTAGGTGGGACTTCCCTGAGTGGTCAGAAGGATGTTAGCAGTTATCAGTTGGGGACCCCATCTTGCAGCCCAAGCCTCCTGATGCTTTAGTCTTGGCTCAGGTCCTCAGTTCCCTGGCTCTAGGCCCTCTCTGCCCTCCACACAGCCTGGGTCTTGTCTTCTCCTGTCTAGGATGCTTCGAGGTGTGGGGTGTCACCTAAGTACTGGGGAGTGGGGAGGGACAGGTTGTGGACTACAGCAGTTACTAGAAGAGGAAGGAAGGAGGGCAAAGCAAATGTGGCCGGGAAGCAGGGCTCCGGTACTACCTGTGGGAAGGAAGCCAACAGCTGAGATCCAGGCTGGTTTGGAGGCAGAACCTGGAGTTGACCCTAGGTGTGTGCAAGTGGAACACTGGCTTTGTGGCTCCTTTGGAGCTGCCTGGCTCCCTGGCTCTCTGTGGCTCGTCTTACACGCCACCTCCTGGAATGAGAAGCTTGCTGCATGTCTAGGCTCTGGTAATCTCTTACCCCTCTGGTGAAATCAGGGAAATTCAGGGTGATATAGTCATAAGGACCCCATGGAATCTCCACTTCTGCTCGGGCTCAGCACCCCTCACTCTGATATGCTTGTCCGAGTCTGCAGCTTGGTAGGTGGCCTGCTCTTGAGCTGTGCAAAGACCATGTACTGGGTCTCTGCATTTGCTTCTTTGTATATGAAGGCGGAGTCTTCTGTTGGAGTCCTGGCTCAGGGCAATGATAGTGAGGACACAGCTGGGGTTGGGTGCGCTGGTGGCAGAGACTCTGGATCCTGGCTGGGCAGGGAAAAAATCTTGAGACACCACCACCTCCACCTCTTTCCGGTAGTCTAATCATTTAAGAATATTTACAGTGCTCTAAACTGCCCAAGAATTCTATGGTGATGGTAAGTGAATGGTGTCCTCTGAGGGAGATTCCTTGGATCAATACTGAGACACAGACCTGGGGTCCTGGCCCCATGGTATCTTCAAAGGGAGTGTGTGGGAGCCAGTCCCACCAGGGGGAGCTATAGCTGATGGTGGTGACTAGAAGCTACCTCAAAGACAGAAGACGAATGCAGCCTTGGAGGCCAGGTAGAAGCCAGGTGGGAAGTAGTTGCATCTTTCCCATGTTCATGGTACTGTCACTTAGGACCCTGAAATGGAGGGTTTGATCTCAGCATTAAGGAGCATCTTCCTAAGAGGTCCCCCAAAGCTCATGCAATGTCTTCCTGCCCGCCTGAGCCTGTCTGGCCCTCTTTCCTTCCACTTATCTATGGTCTTCTCTTTAACACTCAGCTTCTCTGACCCAACTCTACTTTCTTTACCACTCCATTAAAACCTGGCCTGCTTCTTTTCATTAAATAAACCATGGAGCTCGGGAGGTGGCTCAGGAGATAACAGCACCAGCTGGCAAACCTGACACTCTCTTGGTTGGATCCTTGACCCTGAACTCATGTAAAAGTTGCACTTGGCACATGTCTGTAAGTCTAGCTCTCCTGCTTCCAGAGGGGAGGTTGAGACAGGCCCTGGAAGCTCATGGGCCAGCGGGCCTGGAGTATGCAGAACAGTGGCAAACAAGAGAGAGACTCTGCTTCAAAAACAAGGTTGAGAAACAACACCCAAGGTTGTCCTCTGACCTGTGGCACACATGACCTCATATGCAAACATGTATTTTACACACACACATACACACAAAAATAACTAAGTATTTTAAAATGAACTAAAATACATGGAAGGCCCTTAATCTGCACTGAGCTCCTGCTCTGGGTTCCCAACAGGACAACCCAAAATGGGGCTCTATGTGCTAATTCCCCATCACCAGACCTA